GGGCATGGGAGCATTCACGGGAGCACAGGTCGCAGGCCGTACATCTGATAGAGTTTACTCGTATCTCAAGAAGAGAAGCGGCCTGGCAAATGGCACGGAACTGCCAGAGTATCGCATCCCCATGATGATCCCCGGTGCCATTCTGGTCCCTGTTGGTCTACTGATCTATGGCTGGTCAGCCGAGGCACACACAATGTGGCTGGGGCCTGACGTTGGCATTTTCATATTTGGAGTTGCCAATATCACCCTTGTACAAAGCATGCTGCTCTATATCGTTGGTAGTTATCACAACCACGCGGCTTCAGCTCTGGCCGCCGATGTCCTGTTGAGGAGCCTCTTTGGGTTTGCTTTGCCACTTGCTGCGCCATCACTTACAACGCATGAGGACCCTAAACCAGCCACATTAGTATGCATAATAGTAGTAAACGAGGCTATGGATAGGGCCAATTATGTTTAAGTAACCAGCTTGCAGTGAGTCACACAAATACCGGTGTGATTTACTACTGCATATGCAGAAGAGGATTTGGTGATACTCGGTTACAGCGCATGGGGCGGTAGAAGAAATGGGGCGGTAGAAGAAGCGGTGAAGGCACTTAGTAGGATTTGGGGGTTTTGGGGAAGTTGCCCCTATAGTCCGCCGTAGACAACACCCATATAAAGTTTCCGAAAAATCTCTTTCAAACACACGTGGATATTTGATTTTGTTCGACCACAGTGTGACAAAAGCAGTCTCAAAGCTTTCCAGCTTGCATCATACGCCAGATATAGAATGATACCCCGTCATGTCCGGGAACCGAGGGCGTATACGTGCACATATGGCTTGCGAGCCATGCAGGGAGAGGAAGAAGAAATGCGACGGAAAACAACCTTGTTCATTATGCGTCCGATTTGGATACGCCTGTTCTTTTGGATCTTGCCATAGAAAAAGACGACATTTTGAGCGAGGATCCCCATCAGCATCACCACCGCCTGCCATGGCTGCGAGTAAGGAGGCTTCAAACTTCGAAGCTCGCGTTAGCTCTACCGAAGCCAATTCTGGGGCTGCTTTCGTTAGGAATTTCGGGCTTCATTTCGAGTCTCCAAATACACAGAGACTACAAACCTTCGCTTGGAATGTTGGACGAAACAAAAGCTTCGTGTCCAAAGCCGCTTCGTCATTTATGGAAATTGTTCCAAAGACAAAGTTAATGGAGCTCGTGCATTTTTACTTTGGAAAATTCCATCCTTACTTCGGGTTTATTGATCGCGATGGGTTTATGAGGCGATTAGAAGCCAAGTGGATGAATTCGACGCCGGAGGAGCCCTTCGATGCGATAGTCTCTGGAGTAGCTGCTATGGGCTATTTGTTCTCGCGAAGAGACGGATGTGTTCCCGAGGCTCAATTTGTCGAAACTTCGCGTGTCATAATTGAATTAAATTCCGCATCCGGCCCCCCATCTATTGATATTATTACTGCCCTGCTCCTGAGGGTCGCATATCTTCGGATGACCGACTCACCATATCCTGCATGGATGGCCAGTTGCACCTTGATGCATATGATTGAACTTTCCGATCTTCATATTGAACCCACTTCAGCGAAGATTCTGGAACAGTTAACAGAGCCCTGTGATCCTAACACTCGAAGAAGATTGTTTGGAATCGCACAGTACTTGCATCTCTGGATGGCGTTTGAACTTCGCCAGTCTGGTGTTCCACTTCACAGATTCCATTTCCCATTACCATTGCCCAGCCCTGGAGATTACACTAGTGAAGTGCTTAGCCTCTTGTCATTGTCTGAGAGCTTGAGTCCTGAACATTCCAAAGATTCTCAAGAGCTTGAAATCACCATTTCGAAGGTTCTCTCAAGCGTATTTATTCATTCGGCTTCCACCGTCGCTCAATGCAATCTGACACTGTGTATTTATCGGCGTCTACGAGCTCTCAACTGCAACCCTACACCCCAAATCTACGATCAAATGTTCAAACTCATGACAAAGGCGCTGGCTCTAGTCAGAGAGCTAGTCGCCTCGTGCTGTCCTTGGCATGGGACAGCTTCGGTTTCGTTCCAAATCGTTTGCACGTTACTTGTGATGAACGATCATGAAACGACATCTTACTTGGAAGATGCCATGAATACCCTTCGTACGATTCATGCTGTTTATGACACAGAGGTCATGAAGGAAACCTACCGTATCGCTTGCATGTTAATAGCAATGCAGTATCGAAGGAAGGAGAACGATCTAAACCTTCTGAAAACCGTTGTACTTTCACACTCTGCCGTTGCAATTGATAAATCAAATCCTGTCCTGGCCACTCAAACGGCACCAAGCTCGTCCGAGCCCTCTTGGCTTGGAGATTTAGTCTCTGATATCAATGGCTTTAGTGCTTTTGATCTAGAGCAGTTTTTCAATTCCGATTTCTCAGCGTTGCCATGAACATGTTGCTCTTAAAATCACTGCTATCAGGGATTGTTGGAATAATTCAAACTTCATTTATGTAGCGTAATAAAAGAGATAAGCAGGCCGTCAAGGGCTTTAGCAAATTAATGACCTGGAAAGCCTCTATATCACATTCGTGGAGGTGAATACATTTTCCAATGTCCGTTTTTTTCTTTTCTCTATGCTGTCTGAACTAGCCCTCACATCCCATGGCATGCTTGTTTTGAAAACACGCTTGTCACAGGAGGAAAATGACAATGCATAACGCTTGCGTCGTGCGGTCGAGCACGGCTAATGGCACTGTGAATTACAAGCCGTGCATCGTTGGTGCCGAATGTGTCCCCCATCACACCTTGATCCTTGATTCTGCCATGCTGTGTGACCCCCCATCATACTCGAAGCCGCCACTTCTCCGTCCCGGCAAACGGATCGATTAATTAGGGTGGAGTCGCTGCCATATCTTCCTCGACCTACGTAGTAAGGCAGTTCTAGATGGTGAATCAATTATACTCTTTACTTGCTCGTCGGGGAGCCTTTTGAGGATTGATTGATTGAGTATGTTGTAAATTTGGATAAAAGTTGGCGTGCCGCGAGAATGACGATAGACGGAAAACTTCATCGTTGGGAAATTGAGGAACTTCCATTTCCGATACATGGGTTCGGAGCGGTGAATGAAGGTCGCTCCGGTGGTAACAAGAAAACGTATTATCGGAACAAGTTACAACGTCATCCTTTGATTAATGGCGGTTTCACTTGAAATACGACGTCCTTAGTGTAAACAATCGGGTCGGGTAGGTCGGATCGGAGAGGTCGGAAGTATCGGGTCGGGAAGTCCGGAATCAGCTTATTGACGGCCTAAAAATGCTTTCATCTCGACCAGTGAATAAGATACTGCATTTCCAACAGTAGCTTTGAGAGAGCGCGAAGTTTCATTGGCCCGACTTGCCGCCATGACGTGTTGCGCTCTGTTTAAACAGGCCGAACATCCGTTTCAGATAGCGCAGCAGCAAAGAAAGTGAGACCATTGGGCAAGAAAGCTTTCCGGAGTACTCCGAAAGCTTCATTTTGCTGGGTCAATGATTCCTGTGCAAAGAGCGCCGAATTGAATGAAGAGCCTACTGGATTTTTTTGGGGGAAACATTTTGTCAGCATTGGGCAATTGTGGCCAATAATAGACAACTAATAGACAACTTGAACTTGGGCTCGTTCATGTTCATTTCCATGATACGCAGTCCAAGTTATAAAAGCCACTCCGATCCTCCGTCCGAACGATCTCAGTAATTCTTCAACAACTGAATACCTTGACCCCTTTCCTAGGAGCTGCTCCATCAGACGATTATTGCTCAATTATCAGCCGCCCGCCCAAAAAGATAGTGAATCCGGAACACAAAATGGCTGCAAATCCTACACCATTTACTTATGAAAATGAAGTGTATCAGGCCGGTTTGAGGGGCGAGACCCCACCGATAACCTTCAACTGTCTTGATTGGGAGAAGCTGGCAGAAGATCGGCTACCGAAAAATTCTTACGGATATGTCTGGGGTTCTGCTGGAGTACGAGATACAGACACCAACAACAAGAAAGCCTTCAAAAAGTGGGGTATCGTGCCATCACGCCTGGTGGCAGGCGATTTCCCCGACCTCAAAACGTCGCTTTTCGGGGAGACGTATGAATATCCGATCGCCATTGCCCCAGTGGGTGTTCAACGTATTTTTCATCAAGATGGGGAGATTGCAACGGCGAAAGCTGCCCACAAAGAGCACGTGACCTACATACTCAGCACAGCATCTGCTACGAGCATCGAGGATGTAGCTAAGGCGAACGAAAATGGTTCTCGTTGGTATCAGCTGTATTGGCCTCAGAATGAAAACAACGAAATCACGGCCAGCTTGTTGTCGAGGGCCAAGGCAGCAGGGTACAAGGTGCTGGTGGTCACTTTGGACACGCATATTGTTGGATGGCGTCCCAGTGACCTAGACAATGCATACAATCCCTTCATTCGCCCGGATAATATTGGCGTGGCACTTGGTCTCTCTGACCCAGTTTATCGACGCAAGTTTCATGAGAAGCATGGCAAGACTGTTGAAGAAGATGTTGAAACTGCGGCCACGGAATGGACGCAGACTGTGTTTCCCGGTAAAAGTCACAGTTGGGAAGATATCAAGTTCCTCCAAGAGCATTGGGAGGGTCCAATAGTTCTGAAGGGAATTCAGACGGTGGCAGATGCAAAGAAGGCCGTCGAATATGGCGTTCAAGGAATCGTCGTCTCCAACCACGGCGGTCGACAGCATGATGGAGGTATTGGATCTCTGGACGTTCTGCCTGAGATTGCGGACGCTGTGGGACATGAGCTTGAAATCATATTCGATTCTGGTGTACGTTGTGGAGCTGATATTGCAAAGGCCCTTGCGTTAGGCGCAAAGATGATTCTGATCGGCCGTCCGTACGTTTATGGACTAGCCCTCAAAGGAGAGCAAGGGGTTCAACATGTCCTCAAGAGCCTTTTAGGAGACTTCACCTCGACCCTCCACTTGTCAGGTATCAGCTCAGTATCTCCCGCACAACTCAACAGGACCATTTTGCGACGAACAGATGCCTGAATCTTTCTTTGTTTCATTCTGTCGAGACATGGAGCGGTAACTTACCGCTAAGACAGGGGTTATACTCAGTGACCCACTTTCCCTTGTGTTTTGTACAGTAATTTGGTATATTTGGCATTACGGTTGTCGTAACACCGTGTACTCTAGCCATACATGGGGTATTTCAACCTGCCCCATGACAGTCGTTCTTTCTTCAATCAATCAACTTTTGCATTCAAGATTGGTTCCGCTTCCTCCAATTCCTCGACCTCATTCGCCTATTAGGATTACTAGCCATGACTGTCGCAGCTTGCTCCGACACATTCGTTTAGAATTCACCTCGAATCATCATTCTTTTTAAATTCTACCGTAAAATAAAAGGACATCAATTTGGGGTTTCTTTCCTCTCAATGCCTAACAGTACCAGGGCTAGGTATGCTGGGAACAAGTATTGTTCAGTCACGAACTGTTGGTATTGTAAGTATCAGCCGCCCGCCAGCCGAAAAGCGCAACCGCACCTAATTACACTTTGGCGTCAGCAGCCAAAGTAGCACGGTATTATAATCATGCGACGGTACGCATTGGTGGCAAGGATGATGATGTCCGGGGTAACGTTCGAGGCGGCTTGGACATCAAATCTGCCTGTAGCTATCGCCCAAATCGGTCGGTGCTCTCGACAGGCACGAATGCACTCGATGCCCCGCGAAAGAGCCGGAGCAGCGGGCGATCTGGCGTGAAGCGCTCTTCCAGTCAGACTGGAGCTTCTTTGCCACCCAACAAGCGATCGTGCTCGGCATCTCCTACCAAGCTCTCTAATATCCCACTACCAAATCGAATCCATCGACGGATCGTTCTGCGAGACTATGGCAAACCAATTTACGAGGCAAGCACTCGCTCGGTCTTGCTTGCCGCATTCGAGGGTTGCATTGCTGGACATCAATCTTTGAAAAAGGAAGGGATTCTTCACCGAGATATTTCGGTAAATAATCTGATGATTCATGAGGACAAAGAGAACCCGTCGTGGCCGTCATTCTTGATTGTGTTGTAAATACAAAAGGAAGCTTAATTCTTATCATTTCGGAGGGATACACAGAGGCCATATATACAGCATGAAGTCCAAGTTGATTTTCAATCAACTTTAAACTTCCTATAGATAGTGCAGGTATATTTTCCGATGCTGCGGCTTCATTCCTGAGCAGCAACAGCCCCAAATCACAACAGATTGATCTTGACCTAGCCATCAAGGAGCAACGGGCGGGTGTTTCTGGAGCGGATGAAAAGACAGGCACAAGAGCGTTTATGGCAATTGGCGCGCCTATGGGCGAGAAGCATTCGTTCATGCATGATCTTGAATCATTCTTCTGGGTGATTTGAATTCACTACGAGGGGCCGGGGATTGGAAGGGTTGTGGCACGATTTGACAATTGGAACTTTGCAGATACGGAGGAGCTAGCTGATTCGAAGAAAAGAGCAATATCCGATGAAGCGGATATCCTGAGGTCCACGAATGAGCACTTCACAGAGTATTACCAGCCACTTATACCATGCGTCAACACGCTTCGGAAGGCTATCTTTCCGAATGGAAGGCGGTGGGCGAAAGAAGATACAGGGTTGTATGATCGGATGAAAGATATCCTGCGGGCCGCCCGGGAGGACTGCGAGAAGAGCTAATCACAAAGTCTAGTTCTGTCGCAGAGTCTTGGTCTCTTAGTCACTATCTTTAATCACTCTCCTTTAATCACTCTCCTTTAATCACTCTCCTTTAATCACTCTCCTTTAAATCACTCTCCTTTAATCACTCTCCTTTAATCACTCTCCTTTAATCATCTCTTCTAACCACTACACTACAAATTACTCCTACTACGCTCTTTATATTACCTATCTAGATCACCGGCAGATCGACGGGGAGCAAACCTCATCACTACAATTTGCAAACTTGTTTTTGGCTCGATCCGAATAGTTGGATCCACCGAGCGCTCAACCGTCAAACGCAATAACCAGAACATGGGTAGGAAGTGAGCCTCAGATTCGATTGCTGCCGATAAATCAGGCCAGATTTGGTAATTTTGCCCACCTCACGACAATTCGAGTTCGGAATTAAAGCACATAGGCTATGCTGAAAATGCTGCGTTTAGCAGGCCTTTACCATTTACAAACAACCAAAACTCAACAAAATGCCAAATTATGAGCAAAGACACACTGAGGTCTGAGGTTGGAGGATGAAATGTGCTTTTGGTCAAGTAAGAGTGACTGATTAGATAGATTGGAATAACATATACATGAAATTTGGGTGTCCATGTGTATAGGCAAGGCATGTTTGAGACGCTTGATTAACATGTGCGACGGGATAGGGCAGGAAAAAGAGGTAAGCAATGTCAATCATTGTATGTAATTCCGAGGTGGGCAATTTCTAAAATTGTGGGGACATATCCTCTGTCAGAACATTTTAGCGGAGACTTACTGCTGGCAACTGATGAATAACATCCCTTTGCTTAGGGCGCGCATTCTTGCGTGCGGTTCGGTATTGTGACCGCCGAGGGCCGGTGTGTGGGTGGAATCCAGGAGTGTTTTCCAACCAGACTGAGAATAGACATCTATCTACATGAATCAATTGACTTCTGCTTTTCAAGCATATATGCTGTCCACTTGACTGTGTACACAGTACCTAGCTGGTGGTACCAACACAGACTGTACTATTAGACAAAGAGTAATCCTCTGTGTTTGAGAACGCCTTCAAAGGAATCACTGGCCAGCCAGTTATCTGGATTTCTAGGTCTGACTGCCACACGTTTCCCATCCCTCGAGTGGACGGGTCTGTACCGTAACCGAGAGCCCTCCAAAGTTTTACTCGCAAGATGAACCAGTAAGTCATGTAGTCATCATAGTCAAGCTCAGAATTATCCCATAGTATCCTTTCGTCAACATAATTAGTGGCCCCGTCTTCTGATGATTCGTCGCTCGTGTTGTCATCTCACATATGTTGAGAGTAAATTTCCGCTGGGCATGGTATTTGCTCAAGCTTCGGAAATATTCTGCGCCACTCTTTCGAAATCTCCAGGATCTTTCCTTGTCGAATCAAGGTTCTTAGCGTCTCGAACATTACTCTCCTGCAATGCATAGATTTCAAGTTTTGGAATGAATATGATGCGTCTTTCAAGGATGGCAGTGATAAGTAGAGTCGAAACTGAGGCAGCTCCAAAATTGTCAGTTGCGGGCAGTAATATGCCATGTTTCCAAGCAATCCGCTGTCAATTCGAAATTTCAAGCCGAGGGCAAGGACTTCGACCTGGGGAAGGGCACAGATAAGGTCAAAGAAGAAATCCTCTATAGTCATTCTCGAAATCGGCTTGACCGATATACACTGAGAAACTCTTCCACGGCCCCACCGCCAAGACCTTAGCGTTCATTATTATTTGAGCCCACCTCATTAAGTTGCGACCCTGTGTGACTTCCCCGAGCATAAACGGTAACATCTGAACCGTGGGGCCCCTTAGCTTAATGAGCCTGGCCCAATAAATATCCTGCACTAGAGGCTTGGCAGCGGGGCCGAGAAAGAGTGTCGAAGAGTGTACTGGTCAAGCCGATTTCGAGAATGACTGTACTAGGCGATACAGCTGTCGATGTGGGGGAATCGCCGAACAGGAAAACTACTGTATATTCGGACGACCGGCTTGTTGTGGTTGATACTATTGCGATATCAAATTACGGTTTGTGTGCCGAGCGGGATCTAGCCAGATCGATGGCGGACCCACCTGCGGGGCCTCCCGAGGCCACACCCACAAACACCCAGGAGACCAATTTCTCGGTCGAAGATTTCCAACCAAGGGTAACCAACATCGCAACGCGAGTCACTAGAAAGAGAGGACGGCATAACGAGAGCTATGCACCCGAGGAGAGTACCGGCAGGGTCACCACCCGGGAGGTGTGGAAGCTCATTGACGAGCTGAAGGACATCGTCCACCGCCAAACCACGCTTATCGAATCAACCAAAACTGAACTACAGGAGGTTAAACGCGGACAGAATGTCCTCCAGGAACAGAACCAGAAGCTCTCGGAGGAAGTCAAAGCCCTGCGGGCACAACTCGACCGACCGCCGCCGGCGCCCTCGGCTCGGTCGTGGGCCGCCGTAGCTGCTAGTCCGGCCACTCTGAAGCCTCACCAGAACAACCTACGCCCAGACAAAGACCTGAAATGTGTCCGAATCAGCACTCAACAGTCGCCAATTGACGTTTCCGAAACGGAAGGAGTAGGGAACGGATTTAGCCGATATATGCCTATCCCCGCAGCGAACAACCGTATCAGAACGGCGTTTTTAAACACCCCCTCTACCCAAGACGTGCAGGTTGCAGGAATTGGTACCACGAAGACTGGATACGTGATCCGATTCAAAGACATGGAGTCAGCCGAGACGGCGCGTAAAAACAACGAATGGCTACACGAACTAGGCAACGAGACTAAGCTGGTCAAACCACAATTCGGCGCAGTTGTACACCACGTACCAACAGGAGGACTGAACCTTGAGCGAAACAAAGAAAGAGCCATCCAAAAGATCATGGAAGAGAACGACCTCCAGGATCGCGGGTTCCGAATTGAAGACATCGCATGGCTGAAGAAAAGAGACAAAATGCTCGGGGCATTCGGCTCTATGGGCATTTGGTTCGACTCCGAGGAAGCGGCACAATGGTCGCTCGACAATGGCCTTGTGATCGACCAACATTGCGTCGGTCGTGTGGAGAGATTCGAAATTAAAAAGAAGCGGTGCTTCCGCTGCCAAGGGTTCGGTCACCTTGCGTGGTCGTGTAAGGAAGCCCCCCGGTGCGGCCACTGCGGCGGCCAGCATGAACGAACACGATGCCCACCGGGCATCAGAGCACACTGTCTGGATTGCGGCGGTGAACACACCACCGGAGACCCACTATGTTCGAAGCCAGCCAGCGCTCCTACCCCACAATGTTAGAAAACAACCTCCGAATCCTACAGTTGAACATGATGAAATCGAGGGCGGGTATGGAGGCCCTTATCAACGATCACCAGAGCCAGAACCTAGACGTGCTTCTCATCCAGGAGCCGCCTATTACGGCATACCAAACACACGTGAACCACAGTGTATGGCGGCTCTACCGGCCGACGGGAGGAAACGACGCAGCCCGATTTCGAAGCCTTATCTACGTGAACCGAAAACTCTCAACGTCCTCTCACCGGCAGCTGCCAAGCAACCACCCGGACCTGACTGCCATCAAGGTCTGGACCGCCGACACCCAAATCCTAATCTTCTCAATTTACATCCCGCCAGTGCCAATGCACACGCCTGAGGAAGCATCGGCGGCAACGGTACTATCCACTATCCAAGACACGATACAAACCACCCTCCAAGACGACAACAGGAGCGCTTGCATTGTCCTCTCTGGAGATTTCAACCGACACCACCCAGCATGGGGCAGCAACCACATTCAACCCCGGTTCATCGAGGATGCAGGGGAGGTGATCGGCTTCTTCCAAGGCAACGGCCTCCAAAGCTGCCTACCCCGGGGCACTGCGACCTTTTGGTCGCTGAGTCACCCCGGGCGAAACTCCACCATCGACCAAACCGTGACCGACAGACCCGACCTACTCATTAAATGCCACCTCTACCACGAAAACTATGGCTCCGACCATCGAGCAACGTACTCGGAATGGAACCTCCGAACACTACGTAACGCCGCCGTTAAGGCAAGAAAAGCGTACGATCGAGCTGATTGGGAAAAGATTGGATGGGAGGTGTGGAGACTCATGAGACCCTGGGAGTCCCCGACCACAATCGAGGCACTTGACGCTATGGTAGAAAAGCTCACAGAAGAAACTGCAAGAGCGGTCGACCGACATACTCCGAACCTACGGCCGTCTCCTTACGCGAAGCGGTGGTTCACCGCTGATTTGAAATCTCAACAAAAAGAGGTAAACTATGCACGGCGCAGATGGCAAGAGAGCTGCGCGATGGCGGGACGGGATGACCCTTACACCATGGCGCTCTTCGAAGACATGCGCCAGAAGCGACGGACATGGACGCGAACAATTGAGAAAGCCAAGACTTCACATTGGAAACAGTTTCTTGACGAGGCGGGCGAAGGAAAGTTATGGAAAGCGGCAACATACATGAAACCACGAGACTCTTGGGGCTGCATACCTGCCCTTAAGGTGGGCGACCGAGAGGTGACCGATAACCAGGAGAAGGCGCAGGCCTTCATGGACTCGTTCTTCCCTCCTATGGCGCCCGCCGAAGAGGAATCTTCCATGGAACCCCCCGCTGAACTCCCGTGGCAACCGATCTCCGTGACTGAAGTCTACCGATCTCTAAAATCAGCAAAAGGCTCGTCGGCCCCAGGGGAAGACAGCCTCCCGATGCTGATCTGGAAACGTCTGTGGAAACACCTGGGATACCTCATCACCAAGATCTTCGCAGCATCGATCGAGCTAGGATACCACCCCCAAAGATGGCGAAGCGCCCGCATTGTTGTGCTACGGAAACCCGGGAAACCAGACTACTCACTCCCAGGAGCCTACCGCCCGATTTCACTTCTAAACACAATTGGCAAACTACTAGAGGCAGTGATGGCCAGGCGGCTATCCTACCTCGCAGAGCACCATGGACTTCTCCCAGACACTCAATTCGGGGGACGCCCGGGACGCACCACCGAGCAAGCCCTGCTAATATTGACCAACGCAATCGACCGAGCGTGGCACGGACAAAGAGTGATCACCCTAGTAGCCTTCGACCTGAAGGGAGCATTCAATGGGGTAAATCAGATAACCCTAGACGCCCGCCTCCAGTCCAAGGGAATCCCCGCCGTTGCGCGGAGGTGGATTGCAAGCTTCATGAGTAGACGACAGGCCAACATTAAATTCGATGACTATAGTTCGGAGGTAGCACCACTCCACAATGCTGGACTGCCGCAAGGCTCCCCCTTATCGCCTATCCTCTTTGCACTCTTCAACTGCGACCTAGTCGACCAGCCCGTTGACTTCCACGGCGGAGCATCAGCCTTTATCGACGATTATTTCCGCTGGAGGGTCGGCAGGTCCGCCGAAGAAAACCTAGCGAAGATCCAGTCCGAGGACATACCACGGATCGAAGCATGGGCTCGGAAGACGGGGTCCAGCTTCGCAGCGGAGAAAACCGAACTCATCCACATCACCAGGAAGAGAAGCGAACAATGCCAAGGCCAGATCACCATGAACGGCATAACCGTCACACCGGCAACAACCGCTAAGCTCCTGGGTGTGATCTTCGACCACGAGCTACGGTGGAAAGAACACGTGCAACAGGTAGTCAAGCGAGCTACCAAAGTCAACATGGCACTGGGAGGACTGCGACAGCTCCGCCCGGATCAAATGCGCCAGCTTTACGAAGCGTGTGTCGCACCGATTATCGAATACGCGTCGACGGTCTGGCACGACCCGCTTCGGGACAAAACACACCTTCGACACCTGCGCACGGTGCAACGAGCAGCGCTCATCCGGATACTCTCTGCCTTCCGGACTGTGGCAACATCCACGCTCGAAGTCGAGGCACATGTGATGCCAACCCATCTTCGATTGCGCCATCGCGCCCAAACCACTATCGCCAAACTTCACACGCTACCACGGAAGCACCCCATATGGGACACCTTGCTTCGCGCTCAGAGACGACGGAACAATATCGGGTCGTACGCTCGATTTCCACTTGCAGAGGCCCTAAAAACAATGTCCCTAAAGAGACTACACGAACTGGAAATGATTGATCCAACTCCACTTCCACCGTGGCGAGCAGAGGCTTTCTCGAGCATTGAGATCGAACCCGACAGAGAGACTGCAATAGAACAGGCGAAGACGGCACGGTCTAAGTCGGACGTCACCGTCTACTCAGACGCTTCGGGACGCCACGGTCACCTCGGCGCAGCAGCCATAGGATTCAACAAGAACTCACCGGAGGCAACTGAAAGCCTGCAAGTCCAGGTTGGCCCGATGGACCGATGGTCAGTACATGCTGCCGAACTGCTGGGGGTATTATACGCGATCATCCTCATCAACAAGGTCGCCGTCCAATGTCGAAGGTCAATGGACACGCGGGTCAAATCTGCGACTATCCTCAGCGATAGCATGTCAGCTCTACAAGCAATCGAGAACCCAAGGAACAAGTCTGGACAACAGATTATCCACGCCATCATACGAACAGCCACGAACACTAAAACCCACGGCATCGCGGTTCGTCTGCAGTGGGTACCTGGACACTGCGATGAACCTGGGAACGACGCAGCAGATCGGCTAGCCAAAGACGCGGCCACACCAGGCCAAACACATCCATTTTCCCCCTTATTATCGCGAGAGGGGACCCATATCAGGCACGGTATTCACTCCCAATGGGAAAGAGAATGGAAAGGATCCCGGAATGGCAGCCACCTCCGCAAGATCGACAACGCATTGCCAGCCAAATACACGAGACAGCTCTATGGAAACCTACCTCGAAACCGAGCGTACCTTCTGACGCAGTTACGGACAGGACATTGCTGGTTATCAACCTACGCCAAGTTGTTCCGTCACCGCGACGATGACCGGTGTGTCTGCGGCGCGCGGGAAAGTGTGATCCACGTCCTCCTGGACTGCCCCGCGCTGAGGCACCTACGCAGGGAACTGCGGGAGAAAGTTGGAGACGCATTCAGAAGCATATCAACCCTACTGGGAGTAGGAGGACCTAGAGGAGGCGATGCTTCTCCGCGAGCCAAGACGGTGGAGGCTGTTTTAGACTTCGCAGAAGCATCACAACGGTTTCAAAACCGCGCGCCATGAGGGCAGCAATCCAAAATAACGGCTACGAGGCCATGGCAGGCCCCAACGAGGCTCTAAGTTCGTTTAAGAAGTGATATAAGACACATGTACCTACATTGATTTATAGTTGTTGTATGCTGCATATCGTTCGCGAGGGGTCAGCGTAAATGAAATCATCCATCCATCCATCCGACTGTACTAGGCCTCGTTCGCGAGGGGTCAGCGTAAATGAAATCATCCATCCATCCATCCATCCGACTGTACTAGGCCCGATTCTTCTCGGAAGATTAAGCCCCACACGCTGAGTTTTTGCAACTTCTGACAACCGCGTGCAATGTGAAGGAGCGCTTCCACCTTGTCAAAGCCTACGAAGCGAAGATGAAGACTTCGTAGATTTTGGCATTTCGCAATGTTCGCACAAAGAGCGAAATCGATGCGATTTTTTTCAGGCTCTAGCTTTTGTATGTTTAGGATTTGAAGCTCTTGAAAATTTGATAAATCTGTAAACCATCGACGACAAGGGGTGTCAAGATATAAGGCCTTCAGCTTCGGCCAATTGAGGGCCAACTCATCTCCAGCAGAAGTCAAAAGTTCTGGTCTGGAGTATGGATCATTGGGAAATACCAGTGCCAATGCCTTGAGGTCCTGGTGTTGATTTAGACATGGCAGGAATTCTACAATATCAAATTGTGTCAACCCGTCCTCCTCGTGTGTTTCCTCGATGTGAAAGAAATGTAAATCACACTTGCTCAACAATTCGGAGATGGCAGGGGTATCTAGATTGCTCTCTGATTTGTATATTGTAAGTGCTTGGAGCTTCGATATTGAATCCTGTTGGGTTAAGCCATGTTTATTTGAGAGGGCAGCCACCCAGAGAAACTCACAGCAAATGCGACAGATGTATTATCGGGATTTGCCCAAGTGCGGTGTATGTAGGACCCATCAATGGCTAAAAACTTAATGGATGAAGGGAGAAGAAAGTCGGACTTGAGCGACCATTTTTGGTCTAAGATCTCGAAAGGAATGATAAGGCTGGTTAGACCTTTACCCTGAGAATGGAAGAGAGCATTTCTGGATTCGCGATGACCTAACGCGCGAATTTTCTCCAAGCATGCAAGCTTTGAATCAGGCTCCGCAACCTCGTCAAGGTTGGGAGTCTCAGGAGCGAGGAGCAGATGTTTCACGAAGCGCATATTTTGAGAAAAGCGATTTCTTGAAGCCACAAAGAGGCAGTTAAGAGATGCAATATCGGGGGTGCGGAACTGCATGTCGCTCAAGGAATCCTGGTAGAGTTTCTTTAAAGACGGCCTATTCCAAGTACTGTTCACACAGGCACAATTCAAAAGATCTTGCACCATAGAAACATTGTCAATGACAAGGCCAACTATCTCGGGAAGGAGAAGTGGATTTGATATGTTTGAGCTAGAAATAATAGCCAGCCAGTCAACCTTTTATTTGTTCATTGTAGAGAAATCCTTCGAAGGAATGCTCAAATCCTGGAAATTGGTGCTAGTTTAAACAATCGGACATATTTCATCTGGGCAGGTTTGAAAGTTTTAAACAGCGGAAGATAGCCAGGACGCGATCGGAGCACATTGGAGACAGTGAGTCAAAGCCATAATAAATTGTATGGTACTTGTGCTTAAATCCAGGCATTTTAGGAAATCGAGTGACACTTGCGTACTGCAAGAGCACTGTCGTGAGAGAAATGGATGATAGTATACCTTTTCTAAGAGGCAGGGCTGACTTGGTCGCACTCTAAATTCAATGAATGAATGGTTGCAATTGGCCTTGGACCTTCTGCTCTATGAGAACACAGTGGCCCGCAATGGGACTGTGGAGTAGATTGAATAGCCCGTCATACAAATGAACTACATCTCAGCCCAATATTGCGCATTTTTAATCTAGCACCTGATCCCATCAATTTCAACCAATTGTTATTCCATATTCTCTTATTTCCACAAACGATTCTGAATTTTCACTTTTGCAAATTCATAATCTCGCAACTTTCAAGTCCGGAGAAGTCTACGCCGTTATCAGCGCTGCTGTGTTCTGCCCCGCCAGCAAGCGAAGAACTGCCAGCATGCTCAATCGTGTTCCGATCATACAAGCATGCTGACAATACCTAAGGTTTTTGTTACTAACCTCACAAGGCGCGGGGACCAGAACTAATTGCGGAGCAACCGAGAGCCAATCAACCCAAAGTAAAGCCCCAACCAAGTAAGTTGCATTAGCGCAGTCACGTGTGGTCCCTTTTATGAGACATGCCCTGAATGAAACGTTCAGTAAGCCAGCTGAAAATGGCCTGCGACTAACCGTCACAATCAATACTCCATTATACGCCAAGACGGATCGCACGACGCAGGAAACAGCTACCGGTTTGCCAGCACCAATGTTATATGCTGAACTACCCTTTCGCCTTAATTTTTGCACGTATTTTGCCCTCGCTGTCTTGATGGATCTGTTATATCTACGTTGCTTCGTCCCTCCAAATACTGCTATCCGCTAATACAGCAATTGATGCTCCTAATGGCGTACATGTTTGCACATTTCATATTGCACACCCGTGGCGAGGGAAATTATTAAGGACCCAGAGTTTCGGATTCATCAAAATTGATTCACTCCAAATTGCGCACTTTTCTGCATACCCAAACAGTTAAACCGATGAAAAGCCGAAGTAATGAATTTCCAGATCGACACTACGAGTGAATCATGCCGATTAACCGCTTCAACTTGCTTCTCGCAATCTTGGGAATGAGACTGCTCAATTGGACACATTTTGAACACGTTTCGCTTAATTTATGGGCCCACTCTGTTTTGACCATCTTTTGCTCGTATTTGACCCAAGTTTTGAACATTGATTATTTTGGCGGCGATTTGCTAGCTTGCTTTTTGCGCATTCTTTGCTTTATCTTTTGCACCTATATTGCACTGTGTCCTAATCTCTGTTCACCATTTTGATCACTCTCGTCCCCCTATCCTCTTTTCCCCCAACTGCGCGTCCATACATTGCTCACCAAAATCCCGGGCTTTCCTAATTGCACATACATAGGGAGCAATGCAAACACTCTAAATCTCACACTTCTTTTGAACTCGACCCCAAAGGTCCCAGCGCAACACAGTCAGAGTACAGCAGGAAAAGCGGGTGAATTAATGTATGGTAGAATAGCTGGTGTAATATCGTGAAATATTAATTCTGGAAGGACTTAAGTCGCTCGATGTCGTTCAAGTCCGTACAAAAATGGATGGTCAGGAGCCCTCCGGTACGGCCTATGCGCAGATTTTAATAGGGTACTGGGACTGGAGTTGAGACAGGCCAATTTCCAAGGGCCCTACGTATATTTCGAAATTTGAGCCTCTCTCATTCATGCTGAGAAGGGCAGGTGTCTGGGATTTCGCATTGATAGAATGATGTATGATCAAAGAGTGCGAATCTGGCTGATAAGCAACTTTGTGAAAGTGAACGGGTCACCATACTTGTGAGAGTGCGTTGCCTTAGGGACCCTGAAAGAAGCGATAGTGCCTCTGGGAGATTTCCAATATGCAAGTAAAGATGTGAAATGCGGTGGATCGGCTCGCTTCATTTGGACTCTTCAAAGTAACTGAATTCCAAGAAGCTCTTTCCAGCTAATCTTGCAACTATTCCCACATTCGAAGATCGTCAATATGGACCGAGGGCATTGTTTGCGCAGGATAGGCCTGGGTAGTTTCAAGAAGGTAGGTTCAATTCAGTCACCTCAAACCCTCGCGTCGTTTGTTGATTTATATCATTTTTCAATAGAGATGGTGAAATTTTGCGGAATCATTGAAGCAATAACCCTTTTCTGATGAATCTTCTAGTGACAGGTGTGGAATGATAGACACCAACACATAGAGCGTAAGAGCAATACGATAAGCTTTTCGTCATCAAAATCACTTCTGATGCTCGTAAACATAGACTGAGCTTGCTGGAAAGCTCTGGCGATATCCCAAGACTTGAGCATCGTAGCGAATTGATGACAAGCCCTTATGACCATGTGATATCATCAACCTAAAATTGAAACACTTAGGTACTTCTGAATCCCAAAAACATGTCTGCCACATGTTGATGCCTTTAGTTCATTTCTCATGGTCTTTATTGCAGCACTTCCCTGGACATTTCTGGTCTTAGGTGGCCCACCAACCGCTCAAGCCCCACTCCTGGTTCTCTGGCGTAAATTTTGGCAAGGCATTAAATCGGCGGCGGCCTCTTCGCAAAGTCTGCTCGTGGGGGCAGCTTTGCTGATTTCAGGTAAATTTTTTTCCATGAGAGACTGGCCCATCATCTGGGAGGATTAGCAAGAACCTTCGACTTTTTAATTGCCTGTCCAGGAAGCCGGGAGCAGATGGGTTGTGACTGCTGATCAATTAAGGTAGCCGCAGTTCGCAGGGCTTTATTGTATAAGACTGGAATCGGCCCCATAACCGGGAACAAGGCGAAGCTGGCTTTGCATCTGCTTTTAGCTTCAACATGACGGCACCTGCAGAGCAGACAAACACAATAACGAGTATTTCTGATCTAGAGAAACTTGGAAAGGAGCGTCCGCACTCTTTCTCAGGGTTCTGGCCTGAGTTAGCTTTTTGTTTTTCGATAGTGATGTCCCAAATCCTGGCAGTGAGTCGGTACGCCGCACCCCGAAGCCAAACCATCTAACGTGCCGCTTCTACAGGAATTCTACATATCAGGGTCCAGCGTTCTTCTCCCAACTCTCGTAGAAGAACTGGATATACCTGTAGCCTCAACAATATGGCCCACCACCGCCCTTTCTCTTGCCATCACTTCAACACTTCTCATATTCGGCCGCTTAATCGATATGTACGGTGGCTATATCATCTACAACGCAGGCGCCATCTGGCTAATTATTTCCTCGATCCTCTGCGGCGTGTCGCAGACATGGCTGATGTTGGTTGTCTGTCGGGCCCTGCAAGGGTTAGCACTTGGAGCCCTGCTCCCATCTGGCATCATGATTCTGGGAAGTACATACCGCCCGGGGCCTCGGAAGAACCTAGTGTTCAGCATTTACGGCGCATGTGCCGCGTTGGGTTTCTTCGCTGGGTTTTTCGTCTCTGGGATATGTGGTCAGTACTTAAGTTGGAGATGGTATTTCTTCGTTGGTGCGATTTTATCGGCGATGATGACGGCTTCGTCACTTTTTTATATCCATTGTGATTATGCCAATAAACGAGAGCTTGGCATACGGATGGATTGGTCTGGATTCTGCATGTCCATCTCAGGAGCGACGCTCCTCGTATTCGCTATTGCGGATAGCTCGTACGCGCCACAGGGTTGGAGAACTCCGTATATTCCGGTACTTTTTACGATTGGTGTCACCCTGCTGGGCGTCATGACGTATCTTGAAGTATGGGTGGTTGATAACCCTTTGCTTCCTGGTGACATTTTCCGACTCAAGTTTATGACCCCTTTGATATTGGCATTATTGTGTCTTTATGGAAGCCTGGGCATTTTCCTTCTATATGGAGTGCTATAGTAAGTGTGTCCTTTCAATGGCTTACGCAACCAGATGATCGCTAAATCCAAATAGCATGTCGGCCTTCATGGGTGCCACCCCTCTCCAACTCGTCGCCTGGACCGTCCCGATGGCAGTTGGCGGGCTCGTTGTCTCCCTGACAGGAGGATTCATTCTCCACAAAGTATCCGGTACAGTATTGATGGTTATCTCCTGTCTTGGATACATCGGCTCAGGGCTGTTATTTGCTATAATTCCCCTTGGCGGAAACTACTGGCTCTATGTATTCCCAGCGATGATCTGCGGTACCATCGCCGTCGACATCAGTTTTAATCTCGCGAATGTATTCATCACGACTAGCATGCCGAAGGCAAAGCAGGGTCTGGCTGGTGCACTGATTTATTGTACCATGCATATGGGATTCGCGATTATGCTGGGGTTTGCGGATATTGTTGAAACGCAAACGAAATATCTCGGTAAATGGAAGAGTTATAAGGCGGTGTTTGTGTTCCAGACAGGACTTTGTGTTCTTGGTCTTTTGATTGTTTTGGGATTCGTGAGGATTCGTCATGCCGAAAGTGAATTGACGGCAGACGAGAAGGAGAAATTAGAGGGAAGTAAATTGTCCTCATGAACCTCTTATTAGCTCTAATTCCGCACCACCGATATATCTTCAACTCATTTGCTCCATCGATTGAGCCCACACGTTTGTCCCATATTCAGTCCAGAGTTTCATGCGCACATAGGGTATTATTACCGCTTCAAATCATTTTTCGTGCGTCATCTGAACGGGCGTGTCAATACAGAATCAATGTGTCCATATGGCCTAGACTATCTAGCCTCCGTACCTTCAAACTATAGCGGGCTTCTATAAATCTCAGCAATTCTGAGAGATACTCAGTCCCTTGACCGAGCGTGATTATTCAACAACAGATCTATCTCCCAATCTCCCAGTGAATAATAAGTGTTGGTATCACCAGCTTGATTCTGTGTACACAGTAAAGTGGACAGCGTTTATGCCAAAGCAAAAGTTGATTGATTGATGTATGATAGATGCCTCTTCCAGGTCAAGGCCCAATACCCCCTGAATCCATACGGCGAGAGCTGCATCTTAGCACGATTACGTACAACATGTCTTTGCTTATTCTGACGTGAGGATATGTCCCGACAATATGTATCGTATACTAGCTGCCACTTTAAATATACTCTTTTTGTCCCACTGAATAGAGAACTTGATTTTCTGTGCCCATTTCACCAGTGAATGTGGCTATAACAGCCCTTACCCCTCGAGATTCGGGTACGTTGGTTGGACTGGACAATCTAAAAATCAGGATTGGATACACGATACGAGCCAAAATCGGCTAGCTGAGAGTACGTGTCTCAACGCGTTATTCCAATGCAGAGGCTTAAGTTGCCGAAAGAAAGTCTGTATTTACTAAGTACATGGCTTCTGATCCGGGCCGGTGAAGGAAATGATAATTATTCATTCGGGGGGAACGTATAAGCTAATTAGCGGGCCAACCATTTTCAGCAGTCAGGTAATGCTCACAACGAGAGTCAATGGTTCTCAATTACCAAGTGTAGCAAGTATTTACAGGTAAAAGAAACTTTTAGAAGGGCGAAAAGGGTAGAAGAAGTTCAAGGCCGATATATGAGACTAAGGAATTGGTCTGGAGTCTATACTAGTTATAAAAAGTTTGCCAAGCCCTTTACACAGAACCACCTAGCACAATTAGAGCTCATTCATCCTTCCATCCCTCCAACCAACATGGAATTCACCAGCTTCTGTTCTGCATGAGTAGCTTTAAACACATCAAACTTCTCATCATGCCATTGATCCGCCCTCACCCATCGACCCTGACTATCCAAAAATTTTGCGTGGTTTTCTGGGCGGAGGAAGAAAGCAATGCTATACCGATCTGCAACGTTGTCAATTGGGACAACCTGGTGGATACATGAGAAAAGTTTGTGACCGGAAGCAAAGCGTAACGAGTCTCCAACGTTGACAACAGCGTGTCCCTTTTTGGGCTCCACAAAACCCCAGGTATCAGAGCCTGGTGGAAGAACTTGAAGCCCCCATTGTTCCGAAAAGAGGAGAGTGAGTGATCCAATATCCGTGTGTTTCTGATGACCAATTTCCTTGCTCGATTTTGGATCACCAGGCAGGTACCGCATCATGGCGAGGGCGGAATTAGATTTGTGCTCGTTGCGGTGAGCATTCTCGAAGCGGGCTTCTCCACTCAGCCCAAAGGCGGTGGAGAGGCATGAGAGTATAGTCTTGGTAATGATGTTGGAGCCGCCGATGAAGTCAGAAAATGTTTTGATGTCACGATCGTTGTGGACGATCGATGGGAGGTTTGGGTTTGGCATTCTGATCTCGTCTCTGGACACTTGGAGGATCTCGTAGCCGTCCATTGTACCTTCCAGCACGCCGGTATGGTTACCAACTGGCTCGTAGCTTGAAATGGGTCAGCTCCATCTATGCAGAATGGCAGTGAAAGGTCTTACCCGTGTTCCAGGGACGGGAGGCCGATTTCATTCTTCTCGTCATGGGGCGAGTTGAAAAAACGACGCATGAGAGCAAGCAGTCGCTGATGGTCCTCCAACATCCGTTTTCCATCAATATCTTCAAGGTCAAGATAGAAGAATCCAGCATCTTGACAACATCGCAGGAGCTTGTTGATCTCAGCTTGCTCTTGTGAAAGAAGCCGGCTGAAGTTCAGTATTTCTAGCTCACAGACGGGTACCTCCTCGCCATTGTAGGGGATACTTTTTTTCGGGATGGTGGCAATGGTCATGTTGGCTTGGTGCTTTCTGATATAAATTGATAGCGGGCTCCTTTCGTGAGTGATGTTCTAATGGTACGTCTGGAGAGAATCAAGGTTAGCCTTTATACCTAGAGGTGACCATGGAGAAACTGCGTTAACTGGTCCTCCATTCTCGATCCTGATCAAAGCTCATATGCAGTAACAATTCCCGCATGCTCTCACCAACCAATAACAATCAATTGCACTTATGGCAGGTCTTCTGTTAGAGTTTAACAGATCAAATAGCTCTTTACTTCTTAATTTCTAGTGGAAAAAAAGAAGATTAGCTAGAGGTGGTGGGAGATCAAACATACCAATATTTCAAATTCGAAGCTTAGAATACTCAAATGATTATTTGTGAATTAGAGAATGATTAAAACCAAAACATATTGGGAATTTCGTTAACTTAATTTCATCAAATTTGATTCAGATATGTTGTTTAGCCAGAATTGCTTGATTTACACTATCTAGCTATTATCTCATATCCAGAAAGTAAAACACGTTTTTTTCAAAGGCTTTTACCCTTCACTAGGTACAGTAAACGCACTTGTTTGATATACATGTACTGCAAGAGAGAATTGTCCAACTTCTCTCGGAGCCTGTTAATGGTATACAGAAATAGATTTATGTACAGTCGTTCTCGAAATCGGCTTGACCGATACACACTGAGAAACTCTTTCCCGGCCCCACCGCCAAGACCTTAGCGCAGATTATTTATTTAGCAAGCCGCTTTGAATTGAGGGGAGTAATAAATCGACTCGGTAAGTTACAGTACCAAGCAACGTGATATTACATCATACGTACGAAAACCTCACGGAATATCATGGATCCCCCCAGAGTGGCAAAAATCTCTCGACCATTCTTGAGCAAATGCCAGAGCTGACCAGTTCATTGACCGCTATCAGCACCGCCTTCCTGTTGAAGCCTACCAGATCGCCTAGTCGTGTACGGTGAGGTCACGTATCACATTACACACAATATATTAGATATCAGCCGCATCACTATGGCTGGTATGCTAAGTATTACTTATTTAATTAATTTAATCATGATTTTTTAGGACGTTTTAGTACGGCAGAATTACAGAATCATTGACAGAAAGGGGCGGTCAACCCGCGGGGGGGGGGGGTTCACAAACTCAAGTAGCGCCACTATATAGGCTCCACTCTCAAGGCTCACCATGCTGATTAGCAATGCTCTCCACGGTAGTCCGTCGCCGAGCTTGCTCTTGCTCGTCTCTGTCAGCTGACTCTTGGGCCGCTAACTCTCCTCGCACCAGCCCTGATCCCTGGTCACTATACTGATCCGAATGGCCCGTAAGAGTCTGCAGCGGCGCGCCCGTTTCTACGTCCCACATGCGCACGATCTTATCGTTGGACCCCGACACCAGCAGTCGGCCGTCGGGTGAGAAGGCTACCGAGGAAACCGATTCCGAATGGCCTTCGAGAGTCTGCAGCAGTACGCCTGTTGCGGTGTCCCAAATGCGCACGTTCTTATCGTTGGACCCCGACGCCAGCAGTCGGCCGTCGGGCGAGAAGGCTACCGACGAAATCCAGTCCGAATGGCCTTTGAGAGTCACTCGTAGGCCGCCTGTCGCCGTGTCCCAGAGCCGCACGGTCTTATCGCTAGACCCCGACACCAGCAGCCGGTCGTCGGGCGAGAAGGCTACCGAGGAAGTCCAACCCGAATAGCCCCAAAGAGTAGTCTTTAGGTTACCCGTCACCGGGTCCCAGAGCCGCACAGTATTATCGATAGAACCAGATGCCAGCAGCCGGCAGTCGTGCGAGAACGCTACCGAGGAGACCGAGTCCGAATGGCCCTTAAGAGTCTCTCGTAGGCCGCCTGTCGTCGTGTCCCAGAGCCGCACGGTCTTATCGCTAGAGCCCGACGCCAGCAGTCGGCCGTCGTGCGAGAAGGCTACCGAGGAGACCGAGTCCGAATGGCCCTTAAGAGTCTCTCGTAGGCCGCCCGTCGCCGTGTCCCAGAGCCGCACGGTCTTATCGTTGGAGCCCGACGCCAGCAGTCGGCCGTCGGGCGAGAAGGCTACCGAGGAAATCCAGTCCGAATGGCTCTTGAGAGTCTGCAGCGGCACGCCCGTCGCCGTGTCCCAGAGCCGCACGGTCTTATCGTTGGAGCCCGACGCCAGCAGTCGGCCGTCGGGCGAGAAGGCTACCGATGAAATCCAGTCCGAATGGCCCTCGAGAGTAAGCAGCAACGAACTGAAGCAAGAGGCCAATTCTGGTCGTATATCGCTATCCCGCATGAGGTCCAGATCTTCCTCGAAGTCTTCATCTCTGGAGCCATCAAAAGCAAAATTAGCTTCATCTGAACCCGCGTCATTTACGTCACTGTCATCCTCGCCAACATGTCTTGGCAGTGAAAACAATGAAAGTCGCTCTAGATGCAGTGCAATGTGGTCTTGTAATGCTGTAGCGGTAGACATAGTTAATGAGCATATCGGACAACATCTATCCGGAGATGTCAATGTTGAAATGCTAGCATGGCTGATTGAGGTCATAGAGATCTCATCGTCATAGTTGATGTGCCTGTTGCGCAAGTGCTCTTGATATTCTTCGGTTTTGGAAAAAGTCTGGTCTGAATGCGCTGGACAACACAGTGCCCTTCTATGAGAAGAATTCTCGTGTTCGACCCAATCTTGACGGGTGTCGTACAGCTGATCCAGATTGCTGCAGTCCTCATATGTGCATATGTAAGGGCGTAGGTCATGAATAAGGTGAGCCCTGTAGTTGCGATCAGTGTTGTTCGGTTCGTCGCCACGCCGATTTATGGGCTTCCTTACTTCCATGCTTTTTCATTTAGGAGTTTTCTTGAGCACAGTGTGAAACAGTAAGGACATTCAAAGAACTTTTTGTTCGGCGCCAGGAGTGGTGCTGGTGGAAAATCCACAATCTCCTTGCCGGGCTGCCAGAGTGAAGGAGCATACTCGGAAACAGACACATTAGATAAATCGTCCCTGACATCCAACTGAGGAACTTTCAAACGACTAGCAGTCGTAACAGATTGAGAAGGGCGTATCATGAAACTCGAGGCTTCTTTGGCTGGTATATCCACGTTGCGTTGAATTGGAGCCATGTCATTGGGTACCTCTATGATCTGCGTGGCTGCCTTTGAATGTTGACTGAGCTTTCCTCGATGTTTCTTCCAGTACGAAAATTGCTGTCTTCGGCGGACGTTTGCGAAGGCTATACGACGAACAAGGAAAGACTCGGTGTCCTTCAAGAGGTTGAGTTTATGTTGCAACAGCACAGTCCAGATCGGCTCCCACACATCGTCCACATTTTCATCACTATATTTCATGTCTGGCGGACAAACCTCTGGATGCTCCGTCCGAGCTCTTGATTTTCGGTATTGCAAAAATAGTGAACTAACGTAATCGTAGTCAAATTTCTCGACAACCTTCAGGAAGTCAACATTAGACTCTGGATCGATTTGTCGATGGCGTAGCGCCTTTGATGACGCGAATCTAGATGATGGACTGCGGATCCATATTGACAGCTTGAAGAGTCGGTCAATAGGATCTTTTATATCGTCCAGAAGGAAATCTATATCTGATTCTGCATCGACGTCCGAGGAGTCTATGTTCAAAGGGTCGCCTGTTGGATCTCCTCGCGCCTCAGTTGTCGGTGAGTCGCTATCCGCTGCGGCGTACTCCAGCACTAACCAGGGTACCGTTAGCTAGATATGAAAAGTGCAGCCAAGAAGAATTGACCTTCGATCAACGAAATATTAAGAGCTGTCATGAACATCTGTAACGTATGTTGAATGCTCTCTGCCTCCCTAACACGGTAATCCAGAGACCCATGCCCCGATACGAAAAGACCTAGATTCACGGCCCAAAGCTCGAAACGATCGGCCTCTGCCGCAAATTGGGCCTTGGGCCATGCTCTGTGTCTTGGATTTGCAGCAAGTTGGTCAATAGAATTGACCTGGTTGAAAAGTCTCATGGTCTCAAGACCTATGTCGGCGAGAGTCTTCGTTTTTGTTGCCTCTGTCATATTTGGTTGCGCAGCGAAGGCATCCAGGTTGCTTGGATTGGCACAAAAACTATCCCTAGATTTCGAGAGTATGTCACATTGCACAAGAGCACGATTGACACAATAACCCCGCTATTCAATCAGATAGCAAGGTCCAATCACGATAACACACGTGTTACCCCGCATTCAGACATATGGCCGTCTCGGTGTTGTTATACACCGGTGTCACTCTGACCTGCGTTGATCGCCACTTCATCTTTGCTACGACTTTTTCGTTCTTTTCTGGTCAAGAGGGTTTCATGTCAGGAATCGAGGTTGCAGGTCTTCTCCTTGGGGCTCTCCCGATCCTTTTCAAAGCTGTTGACTTGTCCAAAGACAGCATTCAGAGGGGCAGATTTTTCATTCGGAAGAGGCATTACGTCCAAAAGCTAGCTCTTGCACTTCTTCTCCAACGGCAAACACTCGCAGAGACAGTTAGGTCAATCCTCATCAGAAGCGGGTGTGAGGATATCTTGCTCCTAGATGATGATCCGGTTGGATATTTGAAGGATGAATGCGTTCAAAATCGAATCCTGGACTACTTGGGACCAGAAAATGCCGCTGCATTTACCGGGGTGCTCAAACAGTGTGATGATAGTGTGAGACGGATAGCTAAGAATATCTCAGATCTCGTGCCTGCTACTAAGGTCTGTTCACTAAGAGTGATTTGCAATCGTCGGAATTTGCGCTTACCGGAACTTGTATATGGCAATAGAACCCGACAGCCGACTTGCTTGCAATTCTAAAGTTAAATCAAGAAGTCAATAACAGATGGCTGGACCTGATTCCGAAAGCGAAATTAGCGTTCCGAGCAAGCGAACTCAAGGGTGCCATTCAAGACCTTGATGATACTACCAACGCCCTCGACCGCTTTACAAAGATCATATCGTCAAATCGTATGCTATTGGGAGACACGTCGTCCAGAAAAGCGACGAAACTTGCCAACGCTCTTCGCCAGTTTCGGGGGTTTGCCCACGACTTATATCTGGCTATTTTTCAGGGGTGGAGGGAGGAATGTCATGACAAACACGAGGCGAGGCTATTTCTCGAAGACAGAGTCGACACTGCTGCAGACGTTTTGAAAGAGGTTCGAAAATGTGCGCCTATATTATTATTCCAGCTGGTTTTCGCGGCAAGCTCCTTGCAGGGGCAGACATTGTGGAATGAAGCGATCGTGCAGGTTTTGAAACAAGGCAGCGATGATGATTTAAACGTATCCCTTGTCAGCCGGCCCTCCGAATCATCTCGTGTAAAGCTTGTTGTCCCGGAAAGTACGTCCGCAGGCACTGAGTTGACCTTTATCGATAACATTTGTGCTGCTATTGAAACAGCCAGAAGAGGAGAGCGGCATATATCCTTTGTCCTCACTGGAAATCAGAAGATGGCAACGATGCCTTCTCATGAAGAGACGGTGATTACGTGTCACCAAGCCGACAAGATAACACTGAAGGCCCTGCTTCTTCGTGATGATAATTCAAGTCACACTAGCACTCTTCTTCCCTTGAGACTTCGGATGTTGCTTGCGCTCAGACTCGCCTCGAATCTCCTTCAACTCCTACAAACACAGTGGCTGCGAAGCGGGTTGTCAAAAGATGATATATTCTTCCTGCTTCGACCGTCAGACGATGTCAATAATGCCTCTCATTGCCATCTTCACATCGACATTGGCCGGCCATTTGTGTCGCTAACTTTTGACGATAGCAATGCGAACGTATTGCCCGAACAGAATATAGATCCGAAGATAGCACTTCTCGAGCTCGGAATCTTGCTTCTTGAAATTTGGCATAAGACGACTCTGGAATCTCAATTCTCTTTGAAGGAGAGTCCCGTAGAATATTACGAGCGCCTAACACTGGCGTTGAAGTGGCTTGATGACATGAACGACCCTTTGCCGCAGCTGTATGATAAGGCTGCCTCACATTGCGTCCGAGGAATTGTCGGTGGCGAGCCCCGTTTCTGGGACTGGGAAGACAGTGGATTCTGGAGTGCTTTCTGTGGAAACATAATAGAGCCTCTGTCCAGAAATTGTAAGCAATGGCGTTGATTACATTTATCTATATAGGAAGGACACCTAGAAATCATTTGATATTCGTGACGTGATATATAAACTTCGTGGTCTACCTGCTCGAATGGGACCTCGAGTGTTCGCCTGTAAATAACCTCCAACTGGGGAGGATAGTCTTTGGCTGCTAGTCTAACTTGTTGAGGTTCTCTGGGCCAAAGAGACGCCCTCGCAAGCGATGGCTAGCACACCTTGCAGAAAAGGAGGAAGAGAAGAAGAACGTCTCCTAGCAGATCTCTAAGTTACTTGGCGCAATGTGGCCTTCCCCACATGATCTGCAGCATCCACTAAAGAATTCCATGGAATTCTATGAGTTTTCTTGTTATACACAGTAACAGTAATATTACGTAGCCTATTACTGTATCATACACGGCGCATTTTACTGCTTCTCTTAATTTAATGCGGACAGCTCAATAAATAATCTGCGCTAAAGGCTTGGCGGTGGGGCCGAGAAAGAGAGTGTAAGTGTGTATTGGTGAAGCCGATTTCGAGAACGACTGTAAGAGCAAAGACTATTGACCCGGTGTATTTCTCATGTGCTTCGGACTCGTTCTCATACAGTATTGGTCTCGTGGTCAAAGTCCAGATAGACAACAAGCTTAACTGGGCCCGGAGGAAGATTGCCACCGATGCCGCCAATGTTCCTATTGGCATAGATATACGCATTTTGGACAAAAGAAGCATTNCAACATCGCAGGAGCTTGTTGATCTCAGCTTGCTCTTGTGAAAGAAGCCGGCTGAAGTTCAGTATTTCTAGCTCACAGACGGGTACCTCCTCGCCATTGTAGGGGATACTTTTTTTCGGGATGGTGGCAATGGTCATGTTGGCTTGGTGCTTTCTGATATAAATTGATAGCGGGCTCCTTTCGTGAGTGATGTTCTAATGGTACGTCTGGAGAGAATCAAGGTTAGCCTTTATACCTAGAGGTGACCATGGAGAAACTGCGTTAACTGGTCCTCCATTCTCGATCCTGATCAAAGCTCATATGCAGTAACAATTCCCGCATGCTCTCACCAACCAATAACAATCAATTGCACTTATGGCAGGTCTTCTGTTAGAGTTTAACAGATCAAATAGCTCTTTACTTCTTAATTTCTAGTGGAAAAAAAGAAGATTAGCTAGAGGTGGTGGGAGATCAAACATACCAATATTTCAAATTCGAAGCTTAGAATACTCAAATGATTATTTGTGAATTAGAGAATGATTAAAACCAAAACATATTGGGAATTTCGTTAACTTAATTTCATCAAATTTGATTCAGATATGTTGTTTAGCCAGAATTGCTTGATTTACACTATCTAGCTATTATCTCATATCCAGAAAGTAAAACACGTTTTTTTCAAAGGCTTTTACCCTTCACTAGGTACAGTAAACGCACTTGTTTGATATACATGTACTGCAAGAGAGAATTGTCCAACTTCTCTCGGAGCCTGTTAATGGTATACAGAAATAGATTTATGTACAGTCGTTCTCGAAATCGGCTTGACCGATACACACTGAGAAACTCTTTCCCGGCCCCACCGCCAAGACCTTAGCGCAGATTATTTATTTAGCAAGCCGCTTTGAATTGAGGGGAGTAATAAATCGACTCGGTAAGTTACAGTACCAAGCAACGTGATATTACATCATACGTACGAAAACCTCACGGAATATCATGGATCCCCCCAGAGTGGCAAAAATCTCTCGACCATTCTTGAGCAAATGCCAGAGCTGACCAGTTCATTGACCGCTATCAGCACCGCCTTCCTGTTGAAGCCTACCAGATCGCCTAGTCGTGTACGGTGAGGTCACGTATCACATTACACACAATATATTAGATATCAGCCGCATCACTATGGCTGGTATGCTAAGTATTACTTATTTAATTAATTTAATCATGATTTTTTAGGACGTTTTAGTACGGCAGAATTACAGAATCATTGACAGAAAGGGGCGGTCAACCCGCGGGGGGGGGGGGTTCACAAACTCAAGTAGCGCCACTATATAGGCTCCACTCTCAAGGCTCACCATGCTGATTAGCAATGCTCTCCACGGTAGTCCGTCGCCGAGCTTGCTCTTGCTCGTCTCTGTCAGCTGACTCTTGGGCCGCTAACTCTCCTCGCACCAGCCCTGATCCCTGGTCACTATACTGATCCGAATGGCCCGTAAGAGTCTGCAGCGGCGCGCCCGTTTCTACGTCCCACATGCGCACGATCTTATCGTTGGACCCCGACACCAGCAGTCGGCCGTCGGGTGAGAAGGCTACCGAGGAAACCGATTCCGAATGGCCTTCGAGAGTCTGCAGCAGTACGCCTGTTGCGGTGTCCCAAATGCGCACGTTCTTATCGTTGGACCCCGACGCCAGCAGTCGGCCGTCGGGCGAGAAGGCTACCGACGAAATCCAGTCCGAATGGCCTTTGAGAGTCACTCGTAGGNATCTCAATCTCCTCCATACGATCAGGATACTTGGCACGAGTGTCCAGCCACTTCTGCATCATGTCATTTCGCTTTGCGGGGTTTTGCTTTCGTGCTTCGATGGCCGCAATACACGTGTCAAAAATGTGACGAAGAGGACATATGCTCGGGACGCCAGAAAACGTTTCCACTTAGCATCTCTCTGTCCTATGTGAAAGACTGGGACACAACGGATGCATTCCGAGAGTTGTATCAGAACTGGTAATGCTGAACTTCATCTTCGAGAGCTTTGGAGACTAACAACTACCAGGAAGGACGCTATCTTGGAACAGTTTGACCTAGATCGTCTAAAATTTCAGCCAATTTACGAGGACAGAGAAGATTGCGTTTCTATCATCGTACCAGATGTTTCAAATCGACATGAGCCCTGTCGAGCCCTGGGATTCATCCGATACGACAAAAAGACTGGCCGAACGATTCTAGTCAACCCTTGTGCACAACTGAAGCCCGAGGCTCTGGATCTTGGGCATTCTTCGAAACGAGAAAACCCCAATCTGGCAGGCTGTCATGGCGAGGGTCTCAAACTGGCAGCTCTAGTCATGNTCTCTTGCCATCACTTCAACACTTCTCATATTCGGCCGCTTAATCGATATGTACGGTGGCTATATCATCTACAACGCAGGCGCCATCTGGCTAATTATTTCCTCGATCCTCTGCGGCGTGTCGCAGACATGGCTGATGTTGGTTGTCTGTCGAGCCCTGCAAGGGTTAGCACTTGGAGCCCTGCTCCCATCTGGCATCATGATTCTGGGAAGTACATACCGCCCGGGGCCTCGGAAGAACCTAGTGTTCAGCATTTACGGCGCATGTGCTGCGTTGGGTTTCTTCGCTGGGTTTTTCGTCTCTGGGATATGTGGTCAGTACTTAAGTTGGAGATGGTATTTCTTCGTTGGTGCGATTTTATCGGCGATGATGACGGCTTCGTCACTTTTTTATATCCATTGTGATTATGCCAATAAACGAGAGCTTGGCATACGGATGGATTGGTCTGGATTCTGCATGTCCATCTCAGGAGCGACGCTCCTCGTATTCGCTATTGCGGATAGCTCGTACGCGCCACAGGGTTGGAGAACTCCGTATATTCCGGTACTTTTTACGATTGGTGTCACCCTGCTGGGCGTCATGACGTATCTTGAAGTATGGGTGGTTGATAACCCTTTGCTTCCTGGTGACATTTTCCGACTCAAGTTTATGACCCCTTTGATATTGGCATTATTGTGTCTTTATGGAAGCCTGGGCATTTTCCTTCTATATGGAGTGCTATAGTAAGTGTGTCCTTTCAATGGCTTACGCAACCAGATGATCGCTAAATCCAAATAGCATGTCGGCCTTCATGGGTGCCACCCCTCTCCAACTCGTCGCCTGGACCGTCCCGATGGCAGTTGGCGGGCTCGTTGTCTCCCTGACAGGAGGATTCATTCTCCACAAAGTATCCGGTACAGTATTGATGGTTATCTCCTGTCTTGGATACATCGGCTCAGGGCTGTTATTTGCTATAATTCCCCTTGGCGGAAACTACTGGCTCTATGTATTCCCAGCGATGATCTGCGGTACCATCGCCGTCGACATCAGTTTTAATCTCGCGAATGTATTCATCACGACTAGCATGCCGAAGGCAAAGCAGGGTCTGGCTGGTGCACTGATTTATTGTACCATGCATATGGGATTCGCGATTATGCTGGGGTTTGCGGATATTGTTGAAACGCAAACGAAATATCTCGGTAAATGGAAGAGTTATAAGGCGGTGTTTGTGTTCCAGACAGGACTTTGTGTTCTTGGTCTTTTGATTGTTTTGGGATTCGTGAGGATTCGTCATGCCGAAAGTGAATTGACGGCAGACGAGAAGGAGAAATTAGAGGGAAGTAAATTGTCCTCATGAACCTCTTATTAGCTCTAATTCCGCACCACCGATATATCTTCAACTCATTTGCTCCATCGATTGAGCCCACACGTTTGTCCCATATTCAGTCCAGAGTTTCATGCGCACATAGGGTATTATTACCGCTTCAAATCATTTTTCGTGCGTCATCTGAACGGGCGTGTCAATACAGAATCAATGTGTCCATATGGCCTAGACTATCTAGCCTCCGTACCTTCAAACTATAGCGGGCTTCTATAAATCTCAGCAATTCTGAGAGATACTCAGTCCCTTGACCGAGCGTGATTATTCAACAACAGATCTATCTCCCAATCTCCCAGTGAATAATAAGTGTTGGTATCACCAGCTTGATTCTGTGTACACAGTAAAGTGGACAGCGTTTATGCCAAAGCAAAAGTTGATTGATTGATGTATGATAGATGCCTCTTCCAGGTCAAGGCCCAATACCCCCTGAATCCATACGGCGAGAGCTGCATCTTAGCACGATTACGTACAACATGTCTTTGCTTATTCTGACGTGAGGATATGTCCCGACAATATGTATCGTATACTAGCTGCCACTTTAAATATACTCTTTTTGTCCCACTGAATAGAGAACTTGATTTTCTGTGCCCATTTCACCAGTGAATGTGGCTATAACAGCCCTTACCCCTCGAGATTCGGGTACGTTGGTTGGACTGGACAATCTAAAAATCAGGATTGGATACACGATACGAGCCAAAATCGGCTAGCTGAGAGTACGTGTCTCAACGCGTTATTCCAATGCAGAGGCTTAAGTTGCCGAAAGAAAGTCTGTATTTACTAAGTACATGGCTTCTGATCCGGGCCGGTGAAGGAAATGATAATTATTCATTCGGGGGGAACGTATAAGCTAATTAGCGGGCCAACCATTTTCAGCAGTCAGGTAATGCTCACAACGAGAGTCAATGGTTCTCAATTACCAAGTGTAGCAAGTATTTACAGGTAAAAGAAACTTTTAGAAGGGCGAAAAGGGTAGAAGAAGTTCAAGGCCGATATATGAGACTAAGGAATTGGTCTGGAGTCTATACTAGTTATAAAAAGTTTGCCAAGCCCTTTACACAGAACCACCTAGCACAATTAGAGCTCATTCATCCTTCCATCCCTCCAACCAACATGGAATTCACCAGCTTCTGTTCTGCATGAGTAGCTTTAAACACATCAAACTTCTCATCATGCCATTGATCCGCCCTCACCCATCGACCCTGACTATCCAAAAATTTTGCGTGGTTTTCTGGGCGGAGGAAGAAAGCAATGCTATACCGATCTGCAACGTTGTCAATTGGGACAACCTGGTGGATACATGAGAAAAGTTTGTGACCGGAAGCAAAGCGTAACGAGTCTCCAACGTTGACAACAGCGTGTCCCTTTTTGGGCTCCACAAAACCCCAGGTATCAGAGCCTGGTGGAAGAACTTGAAGCCCCCATTGTTCCGAAAAGAGGAGAGTGAGTGATCCAATATCCGTGTGTTTCTGATGACCAATTTCCTTGCTCGATTTTGGATCACCAGGCAGGTACCGCATCATGGCGAGGGCGGAATTAGATTTGTGCTCGTTGCGGTGAGCATTCTCGAAGCGGGCTTCTCCACTCAGCCCAAAGGCGGTGGAGAGGCATGAGAGTATAGTCTTGGTAATGATGTTGGAGCCGCCGATGAAGTCAGAAAATGTTTTGATGTCACGATCGTTGTGGACGATCGATGGGAGGTTTGGGTTTGGCATTCTGATCTCGTCTCTGGACACTTGGAGGATCTCGTAAACAACCATTGTACCTTCCAGCACGCCGGTATGGTTACCAACTGGCTCGTAGCTTGAAATGGGTCAGCTCCATCTATGCAAAATGGCAGTGAAAGGTATTACCCGTGTTCCAGGGACGGGAGGCCGATTTCATTCTTCTCGTCATGGGGCGAGTTGAAAAAACGACGCATGAGAGAAAGCAGTCGCTGATGGTCCACCAACATCCGTTTTCCATCAATATCTTCAAGGTCAAGATAGAAGAATCCAGCATCTTGACAACATCGCAGGAGCTTGTTGATCTCAGCTTGCTCTTGTGAAAGAAGCCGGCTGAAGTTCAGTATTTCTAGCTCACAGACGGGTACCTCCTCGCCANGCTTGGTCAGCAACCGGCCTATCTATTGCAGCGTCGGTGGTGTGGTGTATATGTACAAGTTGCTGCTGTATCTGATATTTTGTTGAACATAAGCTCTAGTTGACAATACACTAGTGGCAGGGTGGCCTTTTGGAAAGGGTATATACTGTATCAATAGAATAACATGCTGTTTTCTCTGTAAAATTCTCCACATAATCGGCTAAAATTTCAACTTTGGTCTCGTAACTTGGCTGTGATTACGAATGAACGACAAGCTGTACGGTACAGTCGCGAGCATTGATTCCGGCTGTGAGACTATAAAAACTACTGTATCCAGCCTGCAAGCTTCGTCTGTCTACTCTGAATACCCTGTTCATTGATCTCCAGGACGATCATTAGCCGGGGGCATTAATTTTTCCATAACCAAATACTCTGCCTGTTAAAGTCACTTTCAACTCAAGTCAGCGAATACACCTCTGACCTCTAGTATATCCGAATGATAAGAAAACCACTCAAGACCATTTTCGCTGAATTGATAGAAAATTCCACTCCAAGATGGCGGTCGACAGGAGTTTGGCATTTTTCTTCACCTGTGGCTGATGGACCGCAAAATGATAATCTTAAGGCTGATAACTCTATTAGGAGACATTTAGAGGCAATTTCTGCAGAGGAAATTGTGATTTCGTTATTGCTGGGGGCCCTTTCAAGGGTGAGAGAATCGCAGAGGAAGTAGAGGATGAGCTTCGTGGCCAGGGTCAATCAGGCCAGCTTGAACGCTCAGAGTAAGGTGGGAACGAGCGATAATATAGCCATGAGGGGTCTTGATGACGCTCTCAATTAGTTCTCAGGAAGCAAGTCTCTCATTATGATGTAGCGGTGCTGTATCTTATTAATATGCTCAGAGCACTATGCTGTGTGTTTTTTTTAGCCGAGACCGTTGTCATTGTTCTTTCACCACAATATTAGTGGCCACTTAAATTGTGAGAGTGGTTATGGTATGATCCTGGATTAGCCCCTCAGGTGACGTCGAATTCTGCAGGGCCATTTATAAGGCACGCAGATGAAATGATTATGCCATGTCCACTCCTGCTTGGGGTCTATTTGTTCGATGTCAAAATGCCGGAGCAGCGTGGCAGCAAGCTTGGATATTTCAAATTGAGCAAAATTTCGTCCTGGACATGCGTTGTATCCTGCCCCCCACTATGGATGGAAACTGTCAGTGCAAGAAGGAGGATAGAAAAGAATGGTCTGATGCTGATCAGTCAAAGGTGGGTACATACGTGGATCAAGAATGCATTCATATCTCCGGACTCTTTCCGGAACCAACGGTCTGGGTTGAAACTGTCGCAATCCTCACCGAATATCTCAGGGTTGCGGTGAATGACCCAGGGATTTACGCTTAGGATGGTCTGGAGTTCATGTCAATTCCAAACGACAGAGAAGGAAAATGCGTAGGAAGACAATTACCCCTTCCGCGAAGAATCTGCAGGCGATAGTAATTCCACCAGGGGGAGCGACTCGTGGTAGCCCGAGACCAACGGCGGTATGGAACCGATATGTCTCTTTCATCTATTATGTAGTGTTAACATCCAGATATAAAAGATAATATGACATCTTCAGCATACACAAGCTTGGAGAAAAGGTAGTTTCTGTGCTTCGGCATACTGAACAATATGCGAGAGCTCCCCACGGGCCTCAGCCGCATCGAGCTCATCCTGAAGCCGAATCATATAAGGGGGATGCCGAATCAGGAAATAGAATAGCGCCTGTATTGTTGCGCTAACGGTATCTCCACCAGCGCCAAGTGTCCCAACGGCTGTAGAAAAGATCTCAATCTCCTCCATACGATCAGGATACTTGGCACGAGTGTCCAGCCACTTCTGCATCATGTCATTTCGCTTTGCGGGGTTTTGCTTTCGTGCTTCGATGGCCGCAATACACGTGTCAAAAATGTGACGAAGAGGACATATGCTCGGGACGCCAGAAAACGTTTCCACTTAGCATCTCTCTGTCCTATGTGAAAGACTGGGACACAACGGATGCATTCCGAGAGTTGTATCAGAACTGGTAATGCTGAACTTCATCTTCGAGAGCTTTGGAGACTAACAACTACCAGGAAGGACGCTATCTTGGAACAGTTTGACCTAGATCGTCTAAAATTTCAGCCAATTTACGAGGACAGAGAAGATTGCGTTTCTATCATCGTACCAGATGTTTCAAATCGACATGAGCCCTGTCGAGCCCTGGGATTCATCCGATACGACAAAAAGACTGGCCGAACGATTCTAGTCAACCCTTGTGCACAACTGAAGCCCGAGGCTCTGGATCTTGGGCATTCTTCGAAACGAGAAAACCCCAATCTGGCAGGCTGTCATGGCGAGGGTCTCAAACTGGCAGCTCTAGTCATGTCACGCAATGGCTACAGCGTAAAGATTGCCACAGCAAATAGCCATTGGAGCTTTTCTTTTGTTGGTTCTAGGTTCCGTTGCATGATTAGGCCATCAAAGATGGTGGGGTATGGTCCTGAAACCGATCCTACTGAGGATATGGCTCGAATGCACTCTCATATTGAGAGAGATGTTGTGGTCGTGGTTGAACCCGCAAGGGGTAAGCACGGCAAGAAAATTTCGCTTGCAGCTTTTCAGACATGGGTGCAAGTGACACTTGATATTCGTGGAATCTCCTATCCGTCTCAAGTTATTGAAACCGATGTCGGAGATTTGATTCTTGATCCCCACTTTTGTGGCAGAATCTATCTACAAGGTATGCTGCTGCCAGCCACCTCTTCCGAGCTCAAGCCATACAAGCTTGGTTACAACTTCACTCAGGGAAGGGTGAACCGAGATAGGCAAATCCTGGTTGATAAGCACGAGGAGGCCAACGGTGTGAGACAGATTTGGGAGTCTGCAATCCAGAGGAATGAGAAAGTTGTGCTTCCGGTCTATGTCGACTTTCTGCGGAACTTTCCTGAAGCGCCGGATGTTGAATCTGCAGACGTTCTTTTGGGAGACGCTACAAAAACGCTTATTTGGAGACACCTATTGTGCGATACAGGAGGTAAACAGTTCTATTATAGCGAAAAGTCCAATTCCAAGGTCAGTGCAACTAATCATCCCATGACTTTACCTTTGTCTGATGAAAATGGGGCAGAGTATTGGGATTATCCGAGATTTACTGAAAAAGGAGCCAGCAAGGCTTCCGGAACTCCTTTGGAATTTGCTCCGGTCAAAGTCCCTTCTTCGAACGCCGGAAGAGGAACAGATTAAGCAATTTAGAAATGCACATGTATCTGTGCCCTCGTCATGCTTTGCACAAACGATACAACGAGCAGTCAAGGCTGGCCTTGCAGTCATTCCTTGGGCACAGGACGTCGAAGTGCATTTTGTTCAATGTGAAAAAAGTGCTATGGACATTTTGTTTGATGCTGAGCAGAAAACCTTGAAGATCAACAATAAGTGGCTTGATTTTCAAGAAATACATCGAGGTAACCCTTGTCGTTCCTCTTTCCCGATTCAAATGAGCGGAATAGAGGCACCATTTTTCTGCGAGCATATCATCGACGAGCTACTAAGAATTTCTTGGGGCTCTATTCTCCAATACTCAAGCATGTGGAGAGCAGCTGAAAATAAAGCGCTGCGTCAAATTCGGAACTTACTCAGGTATATGCCTCACAGTATCAAAGTTACGCACACTAATCAGAAGGGGTGCTTGATGGTTACTTGGGAGGACAATGAGACGGAATCGTTCAGAAAGTCTTGTCTCCCTAGTACTATGTATCACATCGTCCTCCACGAAGAAAATTGCCTCGACGCCAAGGCAGAGCTCCTACATGGAAATACAGGTACGTCATGGTTGGTCTATACGTTTCCGTGAGATACCAATCACTAACTGAAAAGTAAACTTGGGCAACGGTTGTGCACCATGCGGGTGCCCTCATAAATTTGCCAGTCAAACCAATAGGGTGGCAATTTTTGGATATCTAGATTGCGCCAAAAGCTACTACCCCATGATCGCCTTGAATCGCCCACAGGCTATATATGGCTTGCCTCCACAACCAATTATTCCAAATCCTTGCCTTACAATTTCTCAAGTGGAATATGAACGAGAGATGCATCACCGCACTTGGTACCAGCAACAGCTACTCCAACAAAAACTACTTTTTACACAGAGTCAGGCTGTTACACAGGGCATGCAGACTGTCAATGCCAGAGTTCAGCTTCCGTCTCAGCTTCTGGCTCAGCAACAGCAAATAGTTACACAGAATCGCGCTTCTGTGACTGGAATGCAGTCAGCGAACTCCCAGATTGAAATCTTTTCCCAGTCACAACAGATACCCCACGAAGCGAAAACATCCCAAACTTCACTGAAGAGGGAGCTTGAGACTTCAGACGAGACGTTTGATGGCTTTTCCAGGAAGTTGCCCAAAGAATCCTAGTGTAGCAAGCATCGATTCCGCATGTGAGGCTATAAAAACTAAGGTATCCAGCCTACAAGCTTCGACTTTCTAAATATCCAATTCATCCATCTCCAGGAATTAATATTACCCCTCCGCGCACGCGTCAATACCGAATACTAGGCCTGCCTGTTTGAAACACCCCGCGGTATCATTTCACTTTCAACTCAAGTCAGCGAATACACCTATGATAAAAGAATTTTTTCGACTATATCTAGAATAGTCTCCGGACGATTTAAAATTATAGAGATATAATAGGCGGCAGTTTAGAGGTTAGGCCTTCTGGGCCGGGGGGCACGAAAACTAATTCCCGTCAATGTACACTATAGTACATACAGACCCGCCACACCGAGGATCGTAAGGCTGTACCGCCTGTCAAACTTGTCTATGAGTCATGGTATAACTCGCGCAAAGTAGATGAGAAAATTGACTGAAAGTCTAATCTAGACGTCCATGGATAATTCTATGTTCAATTGCCAAATTTTTCGGTGTTACAGGCGTACTATAATAGCTTTCAGGCGACTCCTAGACAGATAATTCGACTAGCAGAATATTCTATAACATTACGGTGTGGGGCTGGTGTAGGACGTTTGCGCAGTCCCTGCTGCATGAAGTTCCCCACCGTACAGTAAGTACATCATGGATGTTTATATGCCAGCTGGCGGTGTGAGGCCAGATGCCACTATATTGGAGTCATGGTTCGCATGTCTCTTCGGTATGCTGCACGGTCCTAAACGAGACAGATCGGTCCACCGGCACTGGGGCCTTGCCAAACAGGCGGACCTTCATGAGGATCTTCTAGCTAGCGAGGTCCTAACGTATCTGGATCTTGGTGAATTATCCAAGGTTACTATTGCTAGTGGCTTTGTTCCCTCCATTTGGAATTATTTACATATGCTCCATTTTCTATAGTTGTGTCGCAGAAGCCCTATGCTCTGGGTCGTGAGGTGATCCAGATGTTCAGAAGAAATATCTCAAGTCGTCACGTAAGGCGACGAGTGCGCAGTCTGCCGACAGGGCCCCGACGACCTGATCGATGGATATAAACCTTCCGATTCGCTCGCAGGTGGGTGGGTGATTTGGAGCCGGATCATTTCCTTCACATCTCCGACATGTCGTTCGAAACATCCACTGGGACTCTTTGTTCTCAGGGTGCTTTGGAAATCGAAGGAAAGCAAATTGTGTTGTTCGCAAAAACTTGACTAGCGCCAAGTTCGAGCAGCATTGACATCGAAGAAAGAGACGGTATGGAAGGTATTGGCTTTGATCCCTCATTTTTAGGGTGCCTTGAGGACCAATATTATATTTGAAAGGATCGGATTATCTCTTTGAGTGAGCACACCCCATGTGAATTCAGAGGATGAGGTTTGGAAAGTTTGGAAATAGCGGGTGCTCGGGAATGGTATATAAACACTCGCCATCCGCCCATATATCCTTCTTAGTGGAAATTTTCAACCGCTGTTTTCAAGGGTGACTGACGACCAGATCCTACAAGATTGGAGAAATGCTCTACCTCCTTTTCATCTAATGTTCAATATTATCGAGGGCAAAAATTATTTGCGCGGAATGTAGATCTAAACTCTATGTCCTCCTTACTTATGATCCAGATTTTTCTATTCTGGAAATTAATGTTTTTTCTCAGCACGGGAAGATTTTATTAATAGTTTGTGCTATTTGCATTGCGGACATGGAAAATTCCTCCGTGTGAGCGTTAGAGGCCAATTTTCAGAGTTTTACTTTAAAACTCGAGGAAGTTGAGTAACGCATCTGTTCAAACTCCTAGTTGACTTCATTAACTAACTTAACCAAGTCAACTATTGTAGTGGGGGATCCGGCGACATGTTGGAATTGGTCGTTTTTCGCATGGCCGTTCAGTTTCTTTGATTTGTTTTAGGGAGGAAGTTATTCACTTTGGCAGGGCACAAGAAGCCATTGCCCTTTAGCAGCACCTGGGACGACGACTACTCTTTGGAGAAATATTTTTCGAAGGTAAGACAGGATCCTGAACGTGCGGATATTCGGTGTCGTAATGATTGGAACCCGCTGGTGGCCAGACGAGACGCAGCTCTGCTGGAGATCTTGGACAATGGTGGACGAAGAGCGGGCGACCAATCGTACGTTCTTGCTTGGACCCGTATGTTCGCAAGACACAGTGTAGAACATGGGAAGCTGAAAGGTGGCACGGAGCCCTACTCGTGGTACTTAGGTTTGGATATACTGGCCAGGGAGGATGGTCCAGCCGGGTGGAAGGTTGATCTCACGCCACTGAGGATTTTCCGAGGTCTGCGGGTATACACAGTACATTTCGACGGGTATGCCTCCATGGCTTGTTGGTACATAGTGTGATCACACAGAGAGCCAGGGTGCTGAAAATCCATAGCCCACCTCTACTAAGTAATCACCAGCGATATTGAGACTGTACGTCGAACAGATGGTACCCAGTAGCATCAATTGCAGTCAGGTCCAGCAGGTAGTGGCATTTCATAGTAACTTGCCATGCATGTCTCCGAACTGGTCCATAAGTGATCGGGATCTCCAAAGTTAGAGCGCACACTACCTGCCTTACGTTACAGTAGGCTTGAAATCTCAGTTAATTACTATAGTAGGAGATCCAGTGGTTGTCAGGTTAGTTTTGGTGGATTGCAGCGGAAACCTCACCCGGTGAATGCGGGGAAGTGAATATGTATATGTGCAACACACGACAGGACCGACAGAGTCAATTTGGCATGATTTATCCTTAGTCCATTTCAAAACTTATTTCTTTCCTCTGTCCTGGGTTTCGCAATAGATTTGCAGGTTGATTACTCTGTGCAATTTGGAGTTGTTATCTTGACTAGGTCCGACCCTCCCATCTTCTGAGCCTGCTCCATCTCAAGCAACATCTTCACTCCTTCGTGGCCACTTGCCGTAGTCCTGAGAAATGAGACTGGGAAAGTGGAGACTGTATGGACCTTTTCAGGTGTCTTATCCTACTGAGGCATCGTACTGTAGCAGACCGGGTTGCGAAGTTCAAAGCACTTTAGATATTTGCTCCGCAAGTCCGTCTCTTCCAAAGAGCCCTGTAGCGAGTCTATGCCGAAGTAGAGAAATTAAGGCAAGATGTCATGGCTGAAGCTCCCGACGCATCAAGCCACAGAGGTTCAAGACCACTTGCCTCCTTCCAGACGGAGAATCCAGGTCAAACCAAGGAGTGGAGTTCACGTGTAGAAAAGAGCTAGGTGAAGGAGATTCAAAATTCAAGAGGTATTCCTCAGTAATCTCAAAGTGGAGGAAGCACAGATAGTGCTGCGTAACATTGATCACTATGACCCTGTGTAGAATTTCAGTACGCTGTACATACAGGTTCAATTCCGCGAAGGAAACTTTGAGATATGGGAAATGTGAGTAATACCCATTTGGCTGCAACTCATTGAAGGGATCGACAATGCTAGCTACAAGAGCTTCACAGGTCATCTGGGCGAGACATTTATCCGAAATGATTGGCCGGCCATTTTCAAAACACTGGAAGTGTCTTTTGCCTTCCAATATCGCCAGGTGATTTTTGGAGACTGCAAAACAACCGTTCAACTCCTTTCGCAAGCAGAGTCCTCCGTCGTCGATGGCTACTATCCTCCGTCTCAGTACAGGAGTGTAGGCAGTGAGTCTCACTTTAGCATCCCGAAATTCAACAACAGTTGACAGTTCTACAGAATCCTGAGGGGCACCAAAGTACAAGATATGTCGAATGACGCACGATGCAAGCCGTATTGTTTCATCCTCCGGCGCGGCTAGGAGTCTATGTGATACGGGATCGACGTAACCGACAGAGGAAGACTCTTGTGAGCTTATCTCCTGTGGACTGCTGGAGCCGACTTGAATTGTGCGGGAATCGACGTAGTCTTCCTGGAGAGTGTTTCGCCTAGGTCGCTTTGCTCTTTCTTCCCTTTCATCAGTTTCGTCATCGGAGCCAGCGGAAAGGTCTTTCCCGCGACGCTGCTGGCTACCTTTGAACATTGCCAACGCCGCCCAAATCTGTCCAAGAGACATCCCATAGCCAGAGCTTCGTACAAGTCGGTGCTCGCTTTGAGCCATATACGCCGGGCCCGGTGGACCACTCACGAAGTCAATGATTTCAGTCGAGGATGTCAAGTCCGAGGGCCTTGTATACTCTGACAAGGTCGGAAGAACAGGGCGCTGCGTCTCTCGTCGGATTAAACGACAAGCAAATAAATGATCACGTCCCCATTCACTCGCGGCAACGACATTGAGGTCGGAGAAGAGATTTTCAAGATCATCATGGCAATTTGCATTGAAGGCCGATTCGCTGGTGATATCTCTAAAATATGAAGTACCCATATTGTATAGCGACCTGTTTGCGGGCTATGCAGAGTGGTAAGATTCCTAAGATCCAGGACGATGGGGCGGAGGGTTGTAAAACCGCATACTAAGGCGGTCATGAAGGCGGTGAATGACCCAGTCTCTTGTCTTGTGAGGGAGCCTTGCCCTCGCTTCATCACGCCATGACTTATTCCAACATGTCAGCCAGCGACGTTGGGCTGGTGTCGCTTGCTGAACTCATACGGCATCATCGTGAGCTTTTGGTGGATCCATTATTCTGGACCTCCCGCCATCTGGAGATGATGGGATGTCGGTTTAAACATGTTGACAATGTCTCCCAGGTACAGCATCCCCAAGACTACCACCAACAGCCCTCTGAGGGCCTACCTAATGAAGGGGAGTCGGAAGCGCTGTCACTCGCCAAGAGTTTCTCGCTCCAAGGAAAGCTGAATGCTCTTACAAATATTCTGCTGTCGGAGGGTAGCATCTTGGACAAACGCAGGTGAGATACAGCTCTGTCTCCCCAGGAGGAATCTTTTTCATACACTACTGACATCGTACGGGGGAACAGGAAAGGGCCTGGCTTCATTTTCGCCGGTCGGCCTGTTCATCGACCACACTACACCGTCTTTTATCGCAGCGATCAGCCCAACCGACCGATCTGTCAAGAACCACTGCCCATGATTGGCTATTTGAATTACACAAATGTCAGTGGTCTTCGGTGGCACAAATTTAAACCTCAACATCATTACCGTGGAGGAGATAATTCTGCTATTCGGCCAATGTCCAAGGAAAAGCTAGTCACTCCGAAGGAATGGAAGGAGGACCCCTACTTTGTCTGTGTTTTACTGTCGCTTGCCCAACTCCAAGAGCGTCTTTTGGGACCCGAAATGCGAACAAGTCATTTGGTAAGTGGTTCACGTTGACCAAGCTTGACCTAGATTTCGAAGTTGTGTTATCCTGGCTCACACACCCAAGTCCCGTCTTCTCGTGGCAAGCCCTATGGATAGAGAATTCATCCATATTTACGACGCTGAAATCACATCCAACCTCCTAGCTATGCTTGACACCCCGACTACTTCCACAATAAAAACCAACTTCCCCACCATCGAACACAGGCAAATCCCCTTCAGACCTTTCAAGACCTTCCAGAGACGAATTTGGTCTGCACTGTTGGTTAATAAGTTTCCGCCTCATGTTGCGGATGTTCCGAACTGTACTCGCTTGAAAGTGATCAACCAACATTTGAAACGACCACTTGAGCAAGATGATGATGATGAACGTCACAAGCGAAGTCGAGCATCATGAATGGCTTGTTATACGCAAAAGGCGACTACTTCTTGGAGTGACGTCTATATCACCCACTTCCATAACAAATGAATGAGTGACAGGAGCGTGTGCTTTTAGGGAAGGAGGATCACATCAAAAGCAATAATGAGTGAAATGGTGCAGAGCCAAGCTACAGTGACTGACCAGATCGCAACCATCCGTCCCTGCTGTACAAAGATGTACATATACAGCAAGAAGTCCAAGTTGTTTTCCAATCAACTTGCTCTTTGTATAGATGGGCAGGAATTATTTCCGATGTTGCGGCTTTTTTCCTGAGCAGCAATAGCCTCAAATCACAAAATGCGAGACGGTGATTCAGGGACTGTGGGAGCTGGCAGCGATGCAGCATAACACAAGCAACCTAGTGATGCAGGGCCTCGGCGAATCAAGGGTGCCCACTGTGGGGGATGCGACTTGGAGACTACCATAACGCTCCGGTGTCGGCGGAACCGTAGCGGCCTCAGGCCCGCCACGGTATGTGCGTGTGCGGCTAGTTTACACCATTTCTCTCTATCTGTTGCTGCCCAAGCAAGACAGCAAACCCCCGCATAGCATCTGTACACGAAGGAAGCTAGATCGGGTCTATGAATATTGATTGATTGAGTAGGCACGAGAAATGCTTCTCAGAATCGACAGGTGATCAATCATGCTAAATTTACGACATTAACCAGCTACGATTATTTCGGAAGGAAGTTGCCTATTATTTGAGTACCTTTTGAGCACTTGGGAACAATTTTCGGTTCCGCTATTCATGGCCTACTTCGTTTGATCGCTCTTATTTACGTATATTATTTTGCTCGGTCCAAATTCATCTATCCGCAGATCGGTGCGAATGTACCAATCCTAATTATATATTCTTTTTGCTCGCCCCAGTAATGAAAGTAATGAAAGCTGAAACTCTATAATATACCCTCGGATAGATGTAAGAAATAGATCTCGAAATTGACCAGTGATAAACGATGCTAGGTTGATCGCTTTAATTGACTGTCGCATTCTTAGAAAGAACGTGTCGAATTCCATACCTTTTGCTCAGCTTTTGCTCAGCTTTTGCTCAATTTTTCGTTCTTTACGTTTTCCGAATCATTTGCCCACCTTTTGAACACATTTTGCGCAAAAGTTGCTCACTTCGGTTTTGCCCACATTTAATTCACTTTGCCCTGCTTTACTTATCTTTTCCTCAAGTTTTGCTCAACCTTGCTTAACCTGCGTACCTGTACCATACCATAGTACTGCGTTTTGCCCTTTTTGTTTGGTTAGTCTGTTAAGCCTACGTTATTTTCGCCCCTCCTAATGCACCCATCCGCTAACCACAACAAATTAATTCATCTTAATTTACACATTCCATATTGCATCCTCCCCATTCCCCAAAATCTCGTAATTTCCCAGTTAAACACACCCATAGTGAGCGAGCCTATCCTATAGGATGACCTGAAGCGCCAGAGTCGTGGAAATGATTACTCCATTACTGGATGGGACGTTAGCGCGACGCGTGAAATGGCCGCCTTCCCACGCTTACCAATTAGTGTATATAATAATACAGTATCTTATAGGGCTTGTGGCCTGTGAAGGCGCAAGACTTTTGAAATGGTCCTCCGTATGCAGGTATTTCAGTCTGCTCCTTTCAGCCAATCACGCAACTAGACTCGGCTCGTCCTCACGTGAGGTGAACACTGCAGGCGGTCAAATGGGATGGAACAATTTATATAAATTTCTTATATTGTAATAGTATCAACAAGTCCCTAACCACTTTCTCAAGCTATCGCTCTTCAATCGATCGCTGTGTTCTGTCTATATTCTTGATCTTTACGTACAGTGATCCTCTAAATTGGCTTGACCTATGCACACTTAATAGATTTTTCTCGGCCCTACCGCTAATGCCTCGGCGAAGATCATTTATTGAGCAATCAACATCAAATCGAGGGGCGCAACAAACTGCGCTTTGTGTCATGTACCATATCATCTAAGCAACCTAGGTGATTATTGTATCTAGAAGTAGATTTAACGAAGTCTGGGGAGCGGATATAAAGAGGCCACGCTTCCAGGGCCAGGGCCACCAGAAAGGGCACTGTCTCATTGAGCTACCACCATCCTGCGAGATACTCGTACATGCTTACCTAAATTCCCTAGGAGTAGTCAAAAATACCGCCAATCTTGAAAGGAAGTAGTGGGAATATTACTTGAATGGACCCATGAGCGTTAGTCGAGTTCTACAGCATGCGAGGGTATATTAGATGGAGCTCCGTGTCCTGTGGGAGCGAGGAACACGAGCAAGGAAAACTGGGCATAGCCACTAGCGCCTTTGGAACTAGCTATATTGCATTATTTTTTCACTTCTTACGCCTACGGAAATGTGTTAACATACATTTCTTTTGTGAGGATTGCGTTCAAATGAAGGAATTAAAGGAGATCGAAATAAGCCGTGTCGAAGTCGAAACTAAGGAACATGAAGAGGGAAAGGTGCGGACGAGACAGGAATGGTTGGTTTGGATATCAAGTGCACAGTATAAGCAGCTGAAGAACGACTCTCGCCCCGGTGGTAGGATTTGTCTTTTGTTTCCACTGAAACCCTGTCATAGGCACCAGGGTGGCCACGCCCGGCACCTGGTAACTGCACTTCCCATCACCAGCGATTCTGTGAAGACGAAACTGTACGGCTATGTGGAGGGCATGTCTTGGACTCACATACGTTCCTGATTAAAACGAACTGGCAGTTCTCTGAAGATAGCCAAAAAAGGCAGCTCTCATTTCTCACAGATCGAGTCTAGCGCATCCTCGATATTGTCTATATTTGGAGGAGGTTGGAGATAATAACTATGTGCAGCTCTATGAATGGATATTTTTCGCATTTTTTCTCAAATACCCTACAATTTACTTCTGTTTGAAGTTACCCGTATGGCGAGGTCGTGATAAAAGCGAACTTTCTAATCACTTTGTACTGCTCGAGAAAGTCTGGGCCAATATGCTATTTGAAGAAGCCATCAAAAGTAAAAAACCAGGAGAGTACAAAGAAAACGCGAGAATAGTAGATGGCGTAACTCCCAATAGATTTCACTGAAATAATTATGATATTTCGCAGGTAGTGGAGAGGTTATTTTACTTCACATTCCGCACCATACTGTATGTTTCACAGCATGTATATGAAGCGAGCTACATCGTGCGAATGAATTGATGTTATTAATACTAATAATTTGGAATTAATCATTCCGTGTTTCCGGGTTTCCAGTTCGGTCATCGTACAGGATAGGCTCGCTCGCTATAAGTGTTTAATTTCGAAATTCTGGAATTTTGGGGAATGGGGAGCATGCAGTATGGAATGTGTAAACTGGCATACTAATAAGATGAATTAAATGTTGTGGTTGGCGAATGGGTCCATTTAGAGGGGCAAAATAATGTAGACTGAACGAATTAATCGAAATAGAGGGCAAAACGCAGCATGGAACAGGTACGCAGGTTAAGCAAGGTTGAGCAAAACTTGGGGAAAAGATAAGTAAAGCAGAGGCAAAGATTGAGTTAAAAGTGGGCAAAACCGAAGTAAACAAATGTTGCGCAAAATTTGTTCGAAAGGTGGGCAAATGGTTCGGGAAATGTAAAGAACCAAAATTTGAGCAAGAGTTGCAAAAGTTGGGCAAAAGTTGAAGAAAAGTCGAGGAAAATGTGGGCAATTCGACACGTTCCTGTCAAGAATGCGACACCGACTTCAGGCGATCAACCTGGCATGGCTTATTATTGGTCAATTTCAAAAGTCATTTCTTAAATCTATCTTAGGTTTGAATATAATATTCCAGCTTTAATCATTTTACCTAATATAATTAGAATTGATACATTCGCACCGATATGCGGATAGATGAACTTGGACCAAGCAAAATAGTAGACGTAAATAAGAGCGATCAACCGAAGTAGACCATTAGGGACGGACAGATGCGAAAGTCGTTCCCATGTGCTTAAAAAGTGCTAAATAATGGGCAACTTACTTCCAAGATTTCTGTAATTGGTTAAAGTCATAAATTTGGCATGATTAATCACTTATCGACTCTAAGACGCATTTCTCGTGTCTGTTCAATGAACTAATAATCATAGACTCCATCTAATTTAACCCAACTAACCTTGGAACAGTGACTCAGCTAGGAGACGGGCTGACTAGTGACAGATCCTATTGACAGGAGACCAATGAATACAAACACGGGTGGAGATTGGAAGGCCGATTAGAAAGAATGGGTAAACTCGGCATCTAATAATGCGACACCCAAATGGGCGGTGTCGGAAGGTTTCGGCGAAATATATCCATGTAGAATACGCCCAAACTGTAAAGAAATTTGCTCTTCGTTCTTGGGTCTGAGAAATCAACCCAATTGAGCCCATGAAATATGAATATAGATTCCCAATCAGACTAGAAAATATTGAAATTGAATACTGATCAATTGAGCCTGTCGATGGACAAGTATCGTCAAGTACTGAAATCCCCACTTGTTCAATAACCACTCTCACTTGACAGATAGGAAGTCATGGCTGATTGTCTCGTACTTACAGTTGAATATGAAAAACTAACCCTTAATCAACGATTTGTCGGCTCTTTATGATATCCCTTCTAACTAGGTTCTTCTTTGCACTGAACAGATAACTAGTCCAGGGTCGAAGGCGTAGGACTCTTGTCCGTTCGACTATGCTGCGAATAAATTGCATGAGTATCAAATCCATCCTAAATAAGGCTCGTAAGTGCACATACGCAAGAATACCAGCCATACTGGCATTATAATAATGATTTACTAGCAATCCACGAAAACGATAACAGGCACTCTCCCGAGTTGGAATCACCTTTACAGCAGTATGGTTCCTTTACGGCAGCAGGCGCCGGTCGATATTCCTCCAGTTGTCTTAGTCAACAAGAAGTTGATGTACAGGATAATCTTGAGAATAAGAAGGAATGAAAGGATGTGGCTGCTGTACGGTTATTTTGTGCTCCTCCGGCACAACTTCTATACCGTGTCACTAGAGAGGGCGTTGCAGACCTTCGGCCAGCCCCGGTAGGTAAAGCAGCATCTTGGGCAAGTCTTTCTAGCGTTTCTTCGGCACCCCTCTTACAATGGACCATACACTGCGGCGACATCGTGATCGTGGACATTGGACTAAGAGGTGAAGACTTTGCTAAGGTATCTGATCTTCGACGCTTACCGGATGGACGGTACGTTGTTGTCTACAATTTGTTGTACCAAAGAAGCGAAATTGTGCGGGAACTTGAAATAAATGGGCAACTATCAACACATGCTTGGAGTCCATCTTGATAGGATGTGGCCAGTACATGCTGAGTACAAGCTTATTCTGAGCACCAATCGGACTATTACAATTTGGGACACTGCGGTTGGAAGAGCCTCAAAGGAAACTACCGCGAGCATCTGCCAATACGCGATATATAGTACCACACCAAAATCACGAAGAATAATCAGTGTTGACCAACCTCGTTTCAAGTGGATGAGAGAAATTCTCTCAATGAAACCAGAACATCTGCCACTTGCATAAGAGAAGCGAACTAGCCCATCTGTTCAATGGCATGTGGAACTTGATAACTATATTACGAGCTGAGGATGCGTACTGGTCGTTGAGAGAACCAATCAAATAATTTAAGAGAAACCTCGATGATGTCGATTCAAATAATACTGAATTTAGTAGCGATGATAGAGTTTGCATTTTTATGGTACAGTAAATTTGTGAGAGTGCTCGCTTGGAATTTCGCCAGCTGGAGTTCTCGTTTGTTACTAGGACCGGTTTATTTTGGAATGTGAAAGAGGTACAGTAATAGCAAAACAGAATCTGAAGAGGACTAAAAATTTGGAATTTATAAAGCGCAAGACAAGAATTTGCTAATTGGAACACTCTCAGTGCATGAAACCCAAATTTTGGAAAGAGGGATTAAGGGGGGGGAAGAATCTGAAATGACCATTATCTGACTAATATTCCGGAAACATTCAAAAAAGGACGTTCGATGAGTTCGTTCAACTGATCAGGATGATGATACTGTACAAACCTTCTGCTTCCGTACTTTTGTCATATGCCATCTGTCCTCACCGTATGACGGCTATGCTAGACTTGCGGACACAGCATGGCTTAGATCACCAGAACTCCCACCAATAGTGCAAAATTGATACGTACACCGATGATAATGAGGCATGGCAAGAGACCCGGTCAGGGTCACTCACGATACATCAATTACCCCACCGGGCTGGTGCAAGCCAATCTAATCCTGCGGCTTCTTGGACTGTTCATTTACTTGCTACAAGAGCTGAACGAGCAAGACAAATAAGGCTTATCTTAGTCTCCTGCAGCCAAGTGCTCTAGGTGGCTGCTTTCCTGTGATTCTCTACTTTCGCGACAGAGCCCCAAGGTCAGCCCCCGAATGGTTTAATAACCTTCGCTCGCTCTCGGTATTTCCTCCAAGTGAACCTGCACCGAGAGAAGTGACTCCTTTGAAAATGGATCTCCTAGCGCAGTCTTCTAGCTCTGACTATCTCCCATCACGCATGGAGGACATGGTCGAGCCCTGTACACGAGAGAGAGGGACCTTCTACCAGACATGCATGATACCATGCAACTCTCATCATGCAGACGGCTCGTTTGAACATGCCTTGGATTCTCTTTTGCCTCCTCCAACTTTCTGTCGAGCGAATCAATTGTCAGACATGCACACGGAGGAATTATACCAATGGATGAGCTCATCAGACAACTTCATGACGCTACAGGCCGTTGTCCCAGAGCAGATCTTTTCGCAAGGCCCCCTGATATTGCCTCCTTCTGTTGTGACTCCACAAAATTTGCATGCCGTCAATACGCAAAGTTTTTCAACATCCAATGCCTATTGCGAGACCGTCTCTCTTCCGTTTGCCAAAGTGGCCTCGACTGAGTTATCTGGAAGACCGCAGCGATACGCAAAAAGAAACGAAAATTCAGCCGCGTATACTGAGGAACCATACCAACAATTGCAAAGCAAGTCTTCTTCGAAGAGAACAGAAAACAAACACTCCGCATACAAATCCTTTCAGCAAGATCAGTCTCCAACCACCGGGCGTTGGCAGTTCAAGTGTGGGGAGCCGGGGTGCAAGGGGCGCTTTAAGCGTCAAGACCACTTGAAACGCCATATAAAAACTCACTCAAACGAAAAACCTTTTGTTTGCTGGGTCCCTGGGTGCCAACGCGGTTTCTCGCGCAACGACAACCTTACCGTTCACTGCAAAAGGACACACGCTAGGAAGGGTGGTCGCAATCGCTACGTTCCCAGTCTCGATGAGAGCAACTCACTCTATGATCCGGAATTTCGTGGCCAGCTCGCCCCGGACGGAAGTCCACTCTTTCCACAATTTACTTTATAGGCCAGAATTTCAGTTGGGCATCAGAACGAGGGAGTCAAGGTGGCGGGAGAGACATAAAGTTCAGACTTCTTGAGAATGCTAAAACCAAAAAATTGACACGATCTCCTTCAATGCAGTTTCTATGTGGGTCCACTCAAAATTCATGACAAATATTGATAACGAAAGTCATTCTGAAGGCCCAGAGACCCAGAGAGACAGAGAGACAGGTTTTGGCACAAGTTTCGAAAGGGCATCGGGCCTCTTCAAAAGAAGCTGGTTTTAGATCAGGGCGAGCGTTTAGAGGGTGGAAAACTTCGTTGTCTTGATCCTTCTGAGTATTTCTCTCGGAAAGCTGCAACTGCTAACCCAAAATGGTTACTGGTGGCCTCTGTGAGCTGTAGGCTATCCAATGCATCGAGGTTTTCAGGAGCCCAAATGTAGGATTGATGCTCGACTGGGTCCAACCGAATGTGAAAACCTCTGCTGTTGAGAGACTCACAGCCCCGTTCAACCTCAATTAGGAAGTGAGGTTGGGCAATCCATCGCTTAGATCTCGGAGTAAGAAAGATATCAACCCCGAGCAAGGCATGTATGAACAGGACGTCTTGGCCGGTCTCTTCAAAGTCTTCACGAGTTAAAGCTCCCAGGATGCTTTCCCGGGGATCACATTTCCCTCCAAATGCCTCGTAAAGACCGGGCGATGAGTCTTCCTCTGCGCGTTGTCCTAGGAGCACCTTTACTTCATCCGCCTCCCAACTGCAAATCCACCCTCTAACGCTGATGTCGGTGACTGTTTCGAGGCCATTCAAACCTCCTGGCTTCTCTTTTCAGTTTCGCAGGTATGACTCCCATGGTTGGTCAAGCTTCTCAAGGCCTTCTGCGACCTGGCAAGTAATTTCGCGTAGGGTGAGGATAGGAAAATAACCTTGGGCCATATCTGAAAGACAATCCATAATTAGTACCAGAATTTCTGGCTATCTTTCTAACAACGGAGAAAAAACGAACCTCGAGGACACAGAAATCCACAGGGTGACTTGTGGGAGAATCTGGAAAGATAGGTATGCCTGAACTAGCCTTCATTATATACCATACTGAATGAATAATACCTCAAAAGTTCTGTTCGGGTGAGAAAAATGGGAATCGAATCAGCCAATAGCCGTTTCAGGTTCATTTTCCCTTTTAAGAGAACGATATTGCCGGGATCATGATCTTCAGACGTGATGGGTTCGTACCCCCTGCAGCTAGCAGATGGTGGCCTCTTACTAGTCGACGCAGATCGGCTGACATGTTGCTAGCTAGACGGTGTGACTAATTTGGGAAACATCACACCCTTTTGGTACAGAAACTGATGGAGGAGCTACAAATAGATTTAGTTCCATACGTCTCACATTCGTAATAAATAGCCCCTTCCCTTCAGGTGACATGACGAACGTATGATAGATAGATTAAAAAATAAAGTAGTAGGCCCTCACATACTTTGATATGAGTCAGATATTTAGACTATGGTCTGTCCAAAATATAGGCGGACATAAAGATTAGGGTGAGCATCAAATCTCAAAAGAGGTGCTTGTCGCATTTGAGGTATGTAGTGTTCCAGGTGTGCATTAGTGCTGTTATTCGATTCCATAGGACAATTGTGGCATGTACTGATGGCTCTCATGTCCCAGTAAAAAGACACTACTACCATGGGTCTATTATATTGTCGTGGATGCACAAATATGTGGCTGTGTAAAGGCCATTACCCGTGCTACTGACCACCCTAACCCTAAACCTGGTAGGGGTCGGGGGCCGGGAGGGGTGGGGGTCAGTGCCACGGGTAGGCCACTGTTTCCATAAAAAGAACCAGAAAATCCTGCTGTCCAATATAGATACCAACTAAGATCCATATATCATCTATCGTATCATAAGAGACGCCTCATATGACCTGAATGCAACCGTTTACTTGTGGACGGTTAATGCTTCTACCGCAGTGTCACACTTTTACTACCAAAGGAAACGAAAAGGAAGAATCCATTGCTTCGAGATTTACTCAAGTCGCGCAGATGCTGCTTGATGCGAAGCCGTGATGAAAGGAAAATTCTTCTTTCCAGCTACTTCGCGATCCAAGTTGTACGTCACCCAATAACCGAACCGCATGTCAAGTTGATTAGACTGATGTTCCCTTGACCAGGAAACTTGGAATATTTGGACCAAAGAAAATTGATTCAAACTGTTTCTATTCGCACACCCACCCAGAGACATTTGTGCTTGCGAGCGGTGGCAGCAGAAGGGTGTTCAATACGGGCTTGTCGTCCTCTGAGGGGGCTCCGAAGATTTTGTCGTGGAAATACCATATCTAATGATAAGGCATATCCTAGATCCCAGGAACTAATATTTAATTCCCAGATTCCACGAAAGAGTAAACGGTAAATTTCCTCTTTTGATCGAGGAATATGGCGAGGGAAGAATTACTACTCTCGGGTATGAGAAAGGGCGTTTTGCCACGAATCGTTATGTGGACTGCATGCAAATTTGTGATAGGGTTAAAGTACCATGGTAATGTGGTGACACAGTATTATGTTGTTTTCAGCAATTCGAACTACGTTGTACCTAAATCTTAGATCCCGCTTTGCGTTTCCCAAGTTTGCAATAGTGGCCCCGCCTGGTCAGGGGATATTGGTGAGTGCCGCTCTCGGCCACTCGGGCATTTTCCAAAACTAGTATACAGTTCGCTGACATGGCCGTGCCGAGGCGATGGGCAATCACGATCATGGTACGGCCTTGGGAGAGCCGTTTAAGAGGCTGCTGGACACGCTCTTCTGTAGTACTGTCAAGAGCGGCGGTGGCCTCATCTAGCAGCAGGATGAGCTAATTTTTGAGAAAGGTTCGAGCATTGCAATACGCTGCTTCTCACTAACACTGAGGCTCTTGCCGCGATATTAGATAATCTCGCTGTGGGGAAAAACATTTCGCCGTGGTCTGAGCCTGCTAAGGTAAGATCTTCGTAGAGAATCTAGCTACGCGTTTTTGGTAGGCGGTAGAAGCAACTGTACAGGCGGTCAGAGAAGTGGGGTTGTCAAAAAACTGTTGCGTAGTCACTGTACATGACGTCTTGTAACTATAACCAGAGAGAAAGGCCGAAGCGGTTCGGACAAACCATATATCCGGCTCTTCAATTAATTACTCATGACGCGGGGCTTCATCCCAACTTTCTCCACGTCGGGCACTCATGTCGGTTTTTCGTGCGCTGGCTGAATGTTTTTTATAAACATAACCTGTCAACTCTTTCTCTCACTCCAGGTGAGCAAGCCTTGATCAGACTCCTTTCTTTTATTGACTTCTGTCAATTTAAAAACCGCAGGAATCCCATCGCGAACATTAACCCCCACTTTCAGATCAGAATATTTCTGGTTAAAAGCCCGACTTGACAAGTCTGACGTTGACTGTTTATCATATATATGATATCACGCTTTCTCTACCTGGGTAGACAGGGAGCTGATGTCCTTTGGTCGCGACAGTGAGTTCATCAGATCCCTAAATAAGCCCTCACTATCTGCTCACGCATTGTCGAAATCATCGATAGCCCTGAATACCTTTAATACTCAATTCCTACAAACACTTTTATAATGGTTGCCACTGAATATGAAGATGGCGGTATTCGAGTCGATGATATTGCCAATAACAACGCGAAGCTGGAAGAAAAAGCCACTCAAGAAGTATGATCGCACTCCAGTCTACTATTGCGGGATCATGCTAATACTCATACAGACGGGGGAGGTTGTATATATTGACAAAGAAGACACTACAGTCAGGGAGCTGCTATCATCAGAGATTGTGCGCGCCGTTCTCCTACGGAAGCAAAGCCAGCCTGGATGCGTCAGAGTCGAACCGGATGAAAAGGAGGCGAACGAAAAACCATCGAAGTACACGCTGACGGAAAAATTGGATGGAACTGTCCTCGTTGCTGCAAAGCAGAAGGAGAGTATTATTCTATTAGGTAACATCACTGTGCGATGTTTCCGCCGGCGCCCATGAGCCATAAATGTACTGTATCAGATCTGCGGCAAGAATTTGTGTCAATTGTACCTTCGCACTCAGTCCGATTTTTGAATTTATTTTGATGTCAATATATGGAGAAGCCCCCACCCAAGGTACAATCAGTTGGAGATATCGCAATGTCGGACAACTGCATCGATAATATTCGAGATGCGTGAGTATATCCGTGATTCGAAACGGGTAAGGATGGGAAGATCCTGATTGGAATCGCTGGATCCAGCTGATGAGTTGTCCAATGTCTAGTTCAAAGACGGACTGAGGTAATTGGTCTTTCAATATACATAGTTGTAGACCAGGAACGTCACCTGCTTCGAGTATTAGAGGGTCATGTGTATTTTCGGGCGCTGGATTGGCCCCCTGAAGCTGATTATCCACTTCTCAAAGGTTAGATGGCTCTGGAGCACCGAGTATAGGATCAACGCACATATCACGCTGTTTGCCGCGTCTAGTAGAACTTCATTGCCAACAAAGGTCTGCGCAGTTACCTCTGTAACTTTGTATTGATCGACAACTGAACTGAGCCTGTCAGAATCAAGACCACGTCCTTCTAATGGAGTGTCTGCACAAACTAATCAGCAAGTGTTGTACATAATATCAGTACTCATAATCCCGAGATACCTTCTTCGAGGAGATTGTCGCCTCCAACCGACACGTGAGGGTCTTGTGCTTGGGAATAAATATCTGACTGGGTTGATTTCGCTGGAGGAAGAATAAATGATTAGCGAATAAGTTCTTATTTAGAGCTGCAGTCCGCTTTGTACGTGACCGTCTGACTTACGACGTTTGGGTAGTGGCGTGATATTTTCATCAAAGGTTTCCGAACGTTTACGTCCACTTCCGAGACGTAACTCCGTGCAGCCGTGAGATGTATCTTCTGGAGCTTCAGTTTTTGCCAAATTCAAAGTCAGTGAATGGGAATCTCAGGTTAGAATAGAGTAGCCTACAATTACCGCCATGTCCCTGGAGAGTTTCATTTGAACCGGTAGTGGGAATGCCGGAAGATGAGGATGCTGATTTGGTGGCGGGAATATCCAAGGCCAGAAATTGGCCTCGCAATGGCGAATATAATTCCGTTTTACATTTTAGCAGGTTGCATATCACCTCCGCAAGACTCAAGAGTGAGAGTGTCGCAGTCTTCTTCTTCTCTCTCCACCATTCTTCAAGATGGTCATAAAAAGAGCCGTGAGGGATCGTTGGTAGGTTTGAAATTGCGCACGCGAGTGAAGTTACAACAAAAAGACGACTATCGATTTCCAAAACTCTTTTGGCGAACAGTCGAGCACGACGTCTGGTGGCTTGTCGGGATTTCGATCCTTCGGAGTGCAATTCATCGTTCTCTCTGTAGAGGTCTATCCATGTGAGAATATGGCTGGCCTGCTGAGCTGAGAGTTTGCCATGTATTGCAGAATGATGTTTATCAAGGCGTGGCTCGAATTTTGTGTCGAAAAGGGAGCGCGTCTGGACTTCCATCTTTCGATAACTGCTGGAAGCAGAGACAAGACGAAAGTGCGATACGGCATAGCACAGCACAGCACGGCACGGCACGGCACAGCACGGGTCTATATATTACCCGGTCACGTGCAAGCGTTCCGTTCTTACACGTGAGTAAAAACCATTGTGTTAACGTCAGCTGTTCCGTGGCGCGAAAAGCGGGCGCAATTTCTATTGATGGTTTAGCGTAGAAAATCATGACTAATATTCGAAGGACGGTGGGGTATTAAGCCGACGGCGTCTGACATGCAATCGAATCATACCATACAATCACACCATTAATTGCTCGCACACTCCAGTCTTTCTCGTTTGGCTAGAAATTGATTTATTCTACCTCAATGGCTTGCAAAGACCTCGATGATGGAGCCGTTATCCGCCAGAATCTCATAACTGCAGAGAATCCCGCATCCTCCAGCGAATGCATTGCCGTAACAGCCGAGAGAGCCTACTATCGTTGTGATCGCTTCTTTATAAAAAGGAGTCTCAGGCCGAGCGAATTCCAAACAGGATACAAAGGACTTCACATTCCCCGGTTAGGCAAAGAAAGACTCCGGAATGAGGCAGACTCGCTTCGGTTCATCCGTCACTCCACCAACATACCTGTTCCAACCGTCTACGGCGCCTTCGAAGTCGACAACGCTTTCTTTCTGATAACGGATTATGTTGATGGTACGGCAATGTCCCGACTATCGGAAGACAACAAGAAGATTGTCATGGAAGAACTCGATCAGCACCGAGCTACGCTACAACATATGAAGTCTCGTAACATTGGAGGGCCTTCGGGTATTTTGATTCCTCCTTACCGGATCATGCGTCATACGACGAACGATATTTGGCCAACACGTTCAAGCGAAACACCTGAATACGTCTTCTGTCACAACGATCTTTCCCAGCAGAATATCATTGTCGACCCTCATAGCTTGAAGATCAACGCGATCATCGACTGGGAGTATGCCGGGTTTTTCCCGAAGTACTTTGAATTCCCTTTCTATCAACGGCTGGGCCCATCTATCGCAATTGACGGCGAACAAGATGACGTGCCGAAATTACTCCAATTCCTAGCTGAGGGATTGTAATGCATGAAATACATTTATTGCCCACGATGGATGATACTAAGAATCGGCGATTGATAGCACTTGACAGAATGCCAAATCTTTCCTGTCCATACTTATATACCGCTATTTAATATTCAAAACGTTTGACTTGTATTCTTCTAGCTACTCTCTGAGCCTGAGCCTGGGTGGAAGGGACAAGGGTCCTATTAGCATTTTGCTGTATCACACCGTGAGACCAGTTGTTTTACCTGCTAGTGACACGGCTTGCCACAAATTGGACATTCCGCCTGTGTGCTTGACACCGAAGCACCGCAGTTCTTGCAAGGGCTGATTTCAGATGGCATTTTAGGTGGATTGCACTCGCTAGAAGGGATTAAGCCAGTTAGCTAGCGCCCGTAATATGACCAAATTTCACCCATATTTGACATACAATGAAGATATTGTTTCGCTGAATAGTAGGGTTAGGCAAAACTGAACAACCAAGAAGAGTGCAAGGTGTCTTTTTATAAATATTTATTGAGGCTAGATACCCTTGTTCTTGAAAGTAGAGAGATATGCGGGCAAGTGACAGTCTCGCGAAAGCGGGGAACCCCGCACCAATTGTCTTGTCTGTGAGAAATACCACGCAAGCTCATTGGCTAGGATATGAAAGGGATTCGTGGCATTTGGTCTCGCCTTCGAGGGAGAGAGCACGACACGACCTAGTGCGGGAATCACTACACGAGGAGAGGACAGAAACGCACGACACAACACGACACAGCACGACACAGCACGACACAGCATGATACAGCATGATACTGCACGGCACGGCACGACACAGCACGACACAGCACGATACAGCAAAACACAGCACGACACAGCACGACACAGCACGACACAGCACGACACAGCACGACACAGCACGACACAGCACGACACAGCACGACACAGCAAAACACAGCACACGACACAGCACGACACTACACGATACAGCAAAACACTGCACGATACAGCACAACACAGCACAACACAAGGTGGTATTCTGCAGCACGGCGCGGCACTTCCAAAATTCGTTAGCCAATGGTAATTACTTAGCAATATAGCCAAATAATAGTGTATGAGATGAGTGAAAAGTGATGGGGATGTGAACTGCCTAAGCTATCACCACTCCTCGCGGACGACTTGTGCGCTGATCAGTTCCTGCCGCACAGCTAGATGTGTCGTCTGCATCGCGAACTTAATTTTCTGATTGGAAGCGGATTTGGGTCTCATCTGCCCATCTCAAGGCCAGTGCCTAGGCTCACTACTGCGACTGGCATACCCTACCGAGGCTTGTTACCTGTTTTGTAAAATCTCAGCCAGAGGACAAATAGAGCTACTCTCGACGAGCGCTGCGGTGATAACTGGCTCCTGGGAGACAGGGCCGCCATTTAAAAAATGCGCTCACCGGGTTCATATAGCTCTGACCAGAGACGAGCTCTTTCCTTCCCCGCGATTGGGACTTAGGATCAAATATTGGTGATCTTCTTGAAATTTTAGATACGAAATCGATAAGTGTGAGCCATTCGCTCGTACAAGTTGAACCAGCCTGTATATGGAGCCCTTATAGTATCCAAGTTTAGAAAGTGTCGCTACTTTGCGCCTCAAAATGTGGTTTTCGGCCAACGCCCTCTCTGTCTGATACCTGGCATAAACGATAAATACTTGGGGCTGATAGAGGTCTTGAGACTATTCCCAGTTCGGACGTATAATTTGGACTACCGAGACCTTCGGGGAGGCCTTGCGTAGATCGACTATCATGCAGAGAACAGGTACTCTTTATCCGCAGTAGTAACCTAGGAGACCAAATTGTGGGCTCGTGAAAGGTACGGCAGAGATTGGCGAAGTAAGCCCCAAAAGACTAGGCTGTTGAAGGAGTCATGAAACTACGCGAGGAAGACCGCGAGTGCTAATACTATTCAAACATCCAATCACACCTTGCACCTGCTGGGAACCCACGCACGCCGCATTTAGCGTACCTTCGCGGAACTAATTCAATGTACTGCGGTGACGGCCTGACTATTGGCTCTCGTCAATGTAGAGTCCACGCAGGAACAGGGGCATATGCCGAAGGGAAGGGATGTTTCACGTCTACATAATTAGGAACTGTTGCTCTCGACAGAGACTCATCGTGCTCGGTATTCACGGCCTGCCGACCCTCGACTGCTACCGGGTCTCGCAGATTGCAAGCTACCTTCGTACCATTATCCCTCATACCAGCAGTGTTTTTGAGATACGAGACTGGTTTGGATTTTCCCATTCATTAAAGCTTCTCACAAACGATTGAAACGGAGCTATCATTCTGAAGCTTTGACACCATGGCCATTTGGAATTTTTTGAAAGCGATACTACACAAAGATGAGGTATATTTTATATAACACGTTGAAGTTCACACGCTGAGATTTGGACAGTCTATAATATTTGATACCGGTCTGTGCGGCAAGGACAAGTTATACGTCGAATTCTCTCTCGGTGGATCTCGTTATATTTGGCCCTGGGATCAGTTCAAGGAGATGGAGAAGGCGACCTCTGCTGTGGTAAAATCCAAGTGGAACTATGGGAAGCTGCAAAGTCTTGCCGAGTCGTTACAGAAAGGACAGATCGAAACATCAAAAGTCGTGGAATATTTGAAGATAATGCAACTGAGTGCCATAGCTGCAAGAGATACAGTATCTGTGGAGCGAGTGCAAGGCTCAAGTGTCTGGTTTTGATCAAGTTTGTAGGGACCAGATTGGTGCTGCAAAATCAAAGTCTAAATTGTGCTTTCTTGTTGTCAATTGCACTATAGTACATCAAACACCATACAGTACATAGCAAATGGACTATGCTAATTTTACTATTTTGAGAGCCATAAAGGGCTATAAGAGATGGGTACTTTAGTAGGCAAATCAGTTCTTTATTGCCAAAACTCAATTATATTCAAGACAAATTAACCAGATGTACAGCCAACCCTGACACCAATGTAGACATACTGCAGTACCTAATATTGACAACCGCATATGCCCATGGATAGAGGACTGGTAACTGATGTGCACAGGGCCTGGGGCAAATGCAGAGTGAATCACTACTGAAAAGATAGCAATTTCGTTGGATTTTTTGGGCCACAGGCGGAAGATCACTACCATACTAAGCACTGTAACTCAAGGTACATCAATTATGGGGCCGGTGATCCGGGTTGCCAGGGAAGGAAGGCATTGCCTGCGTAAGCTGAGGACCGTTTTCGAGTATGGGCGGCTTGGGGATGGCTTGTTGGAGATCGGCAACGATGCGCTCCAGCTGCGCGAGGCGGCGATCCTTCTCCAGGACTTCACGACGCAGTCGCTCGACTTCGTTGTAAAGATCACCGCCATTCTTATGGGGAACGGGGAGGCCGCCATCGGACGAATCACGTCTGCGCTTGAGACCAGTGGCCGGGACATAGTTAGCGCGAACGCCCTCTACATCCTTGGCGCGCTCCCATGGCATGTCCACAAGAATTGGGGCTGTTGCACCCTCCTCCCTGTGCATGTGGCGACGACGCAAGTGCTCTCGAAGATTTTCTTGGCGCGTAAATCCCTTGCCGGTGCTGCGGTTGCAATCGGCATAGGGACACATCATGGGGTTCTTGGTCTCGTTGTTCTTCTTGTGGACTTCGCGCTGGTGGCGCAAGAGGCCGCCAGAGTAGGTAAAGCCTTGAATCTTTTCGCAATCAGGTTCGTAGCACTTGTAAGGCCGATCGTGTTTATCCATGTGTTTGCTGGTAAAAAAATGAGTTAGTATGGAGAGGAGCCTTTGACAGTCGCGTAGAAAGGGAATTGAATCTACTTACTTCCATTCACAACGGCGGCGGAAAGTAGGCGGCGAAGCCTGACAATCAGTGTGGTCGCAGAAGATTTGGCCTTCTTTGTTCTTGGGAGGGTCGCGGGTGCGTCGGATAGAGAGGTGTGCATTCGCTCTTTGCATGTCACTACAACCAAGGGCAGCAACTTGTTCGTTCATTCTGGCAATTGAGGAGAGGGGTTTCGTTGTTGAGGAGAGTGAAGGGGCTTCAGGACCACATGCGGAGCTTCACTTCGCGAACCACAACGGGAAGGTGTGAAACAAAGCAGAAAAATTCCCGAATATAAGGAAAGGAGGGGATTCAAATACATTGACTGAAGTCGAGCGAATAGAAAGCTGGTGGTGAGGAGTTGGGGTTGATACAGTATACTCTAGGTCTTCTACACTTTCATTGCCTGAGGTCACAATGCCTCCACAAATGGTCTCGTCTGCATCGCGAACTTACCTTTCTGATTGGCTCCCGTACAATCTACTGGAAGCGGATTTGGGGCTCAACTGCCCGTCTCAAGGCCAGCGCCTTGGCAACTTACCTGATTTTCGTCGCATTTTCAGCCGCATTGTGTATGAACCTGGACAAATCATGAAAAGTAAGAGAAGGCACCTCGGTAATTTACCAGTTATTTCTATGCCGATTATCACAGATGAAAATACCGTGAACCGCGGTTTTCCACCGCGAATATGAAGATAACTGGCTCCTGGGAATTAGGACCGTATTTTAAATGGTGCGCCCACTGGGTCGGATCATATATATCTGATCAGACTTGAGTTCTCTTCCCCTCGCGATTGGGATCTACGATTAGATGTTGTGGATATTCTTGAAACCTTAGATGCCGAATCGCTAGGTGTTGACCATTCGCCCGTATAAGTTGCACTGGCCTGCATCTGGAGCGGCTACAGTATCCAAGCTTAGAAAGCGAAGCTAATATGCGCTCCAAATCATGGGTTTCTCAATATTCCGGTCCAAAGCCCTCTTCCTGATATTTGGCACAAGAGAATCATTACTAGGGACTGATAAAGTACAAGTATTGAGACTACTGGGTCATTTTGAGAGACTATGTGTAGATCGATTCTCATGCATGAGAAAAGGTACTTTATGCCCGCAGAATCAGTATTCCAGTGAACTAAACTTGGGGGCGCGTGGAAAGTGGTAGGCCAATAATAATAGGCTGACGTTGAAGAGATTGGTGGAGTAAGCCCCAGAAACGCCACGCACAGGAAAGGAGTACATGAAACTACGCGAGAAAGATCCCGAGCGCTCGTGCTAAGTGCCATCCAATCAAAGCCTTTAACTGCTCATAATATACATACGCTGCATCCAACGGCCCTTCGCGGAGCTAATTCGACCTGCTGTGGCGATTGCCTAGCTATTGGCTTTTCCAAATGCAAGGCCGATGCAGGATCAGGGGCATTAGCCCAAGAGAAGGGGTGTCGCTCTTCTATATATCAAGAATTGTCACCCTCCACAGACACTCATCGGCCTCGGTTCCAGGGTTGAACCACTACGGCTACTGTACCCGATAGGCTGTCAAACACTTTCGTACACTTATCCCTTACACTAAAAGCCTTCTGGAGATACGACACCGAATCGGTCAAATATCAGCAAAAACTTCAATCAGTGCTATTATTGCGAGCCTCTGACATTATGGCCATTCGACAACGGTTGAAAATAGTACTTCTCAGGCTGTTGTATATGCATGAGGTATATTTTATACAAAAGTTGAAGTTTATAAGCTGATACATGGCTAGTCTTTCACATTCCATAACGTTGAGTGCGGCGCAGACCACCTTTACGTCGAATTCTTTCTCGATGGATCTCATGAATTTGAACCCTGGAACGAGTTCCAGGAGAGACCGAAGGCGAGATCCGCTGTGGTAAAAGCCAAGTGGAGCTGTGGGAAGCTGCAAGAACGCGTCAAAAAGGTATTGAATTAACTTACTTCCATTCCCTGGGGCGGCGGAACGTAGGCGGCGTAGTCTTACAGTCAATGTGGTCGCAAAAGATTTGGCCTTGGCTGTTCTTAGGAGGATCGCGGTTGCGTCGGAATGGGCGAACGCTCTCCGTGCCACCAAAACCCAGGCCCGAAGCAACAGGCAAAACATGCGGAGCTGGACTTCGTGAACTAGTATTGTGTGATGCGTCGACCATAGTATCGTCTTGACCCCAGTCAACTGAGGGGAGCTCGTGGTGGAAATAAGATGCCAGCAAGAAGCGTCCATAAAAGGGGGGAGGTGGGGAAAAGACAAGGAAATTTCCGAGGATCAGGAACGGGGAAGATGAAATAAGATCGACCGAAGTCGAGGAATTGGAAAGCTTATGGCAAAGAGTTGCCCTTGTTACTGTTCTAGGACTTGTACACTTTATTGCGAGTCACAATGCCTTCATAGATGGTCTCGCCACATCGCCACATCTGATATCTCATTTTGGCCTTTTTCAATGGCCGTGATGCAACCCACTAGAAGCAGTTTTGGGATCCATCTGTTCATCTTAAGACTAGCGCCTTCGTGATTAGCTTACCTGATCTTTGTACCTCTAATACGTCAGTAGTTTTACTTGACTACGGAGGAAAGAATACCCGCTACTGTGGTAAGAATCGGATCTAAAGGTACTTGAATCGTAAATAAATTCGTTGAACTCTTACTAGGAAACATTTCAATACCAACAATTGTAGTCACAATTTATACGGACAACTGCAACAAGGTACGTCAAGCCTCCTGATGCGTGATCCCATAAAATACCTCATAGGGCTGCGACACTGGCCCTTTGAAATAAATGGTTTGTGATGATGGCGTTAGTTAGGAAGAAGTGTTTGGCAAGTAAGCCCAAAAATGGTTAGGCCATGGAACGAGTCATGAAACTACGACGAACGTCCGAGCTATGCTATCATCCAATAAAATTCCACAATACTCTCAGAATGCCCGCGCACTGCATTTGCAGGACCTCTGCCGAGCTAATGCAAGCCCCTTGAATGATGGTTTCCCCATTGGTACTTCTATGTGCAGGCCCAATCCAGGTGAAGGGGTAGGGGCAAAAGGAAAGATGTATCTAGAATCGATATAATTGATTGATGTACCGTCCTGCACACGAGTATTCCCCTCTATAATCAATTCTTGCCGCCATCTCATCCACATGGCAATGCTTCTGGAAGGTGGTGCGCTGGATAATAGTCAGAACGAAAAGATGGCTGAATCCAGCCTGATTTTTGGACATCCCCAAATCTCTCCAGTCGGAAATGGCCCCGCGGCCCCTTCCAAGCTCGGCCGGCTGCCAAGTGCCATAGATCGCATGGCGTACCGTCTTTCTTCTCTCATGGCCAATTCGATCAATCGATATCCGGATAATTTTATGGAGCTGTATTCGTGGATATTCGAAAGCCTGGATCTGACAGAAAGCAAAGAACTGTTGCAGCAATGGATACCGGCTATAGAAGGAGAACAACCCCCTCTTTTTCATCAACATATCCAGAATTGGCCTCCCATCAAAGGTGAGCAAGTAAATGTCAGGAGCCGGTTACACTTCAACTGTGACTGAAGATTTATAGACAGCCAAGGCATTCTGTTGTACATTCTATGCGGAAACCACGGCCGAAATTTACCTCTCGGGAAATTATATACCTCCATGAACGAATCCTCTGTTCATCCGGCAACTAAAGCCAAACTCGGGATGGCCATGGCTTTGCGCAAGAGCCAATTGCAAAGATCAACAGGATCTCTCAGTAAGCTCCTCCCTAGCGTTTGAGATTCAAGTAAAGCAGTGAAGGAAGACTCTAACCTCACTTTCCTGTGTTCAAGGTTTAGGTAGACTGGAAGTGCCTGCTCAATCGCTCAGAAAAGAGACAGAGTCTTTCGTGAAAGTGTCTCCCGCTCCAGTAACTTCACATTTGGCTGCACCAATCTTAAACGCCTCGGAGCCTGCAGCACTTTTCCGGGAGGATTCAGGATGTCTTACTCTTGACAAAGGCGCACTTCTCGAGCGTCAGGACTGTGGAAGCCGAAATAATTGGACGCAATATTCTTGCCATGTTGATGAGGCCTTCCCTGGCTTCTGCCACCAGCGGAGACCTCCGAATCTTCAACATTCAGCCTCCGCGACTGTAAAGGCGGAATCTTCCCCCTTCTCTGTGACGAAATTTAAATATCACAAAAGGCCTTTTGTTTGCGCAATATGTGATAAAGGTTTCAAGGAGCGACGCAAACTTGATGACCATATCCGGACTCATACGGGTGAAAAGCCTTTCCGCTGCTCTTATCCTCAATGCGGTCGACTCTTCAATATTAGGAGTAATAAGAGGCGCCACGAACGAACACGCCACAAAAACTTTGCTGTAATGCTTCCGATATTATACAATCCACAGCATGAGTCGTTCTTTGGGTCTTTCTGACAAGAGTGAAGTGAAAGTGGTACGTGTGCACAGATTGGGGAGGCGCGCGGGGGGGTTGTATTTTTGAGTTACTTCTAGGTTGAATCTCATTGAATTATTTTCATCTCGTCCTTATCATATACACATATCAGCCAAATAATATCAAGAAACGTAGGTGATGAAATTCAATCTGATCCGTGTCCTCTACACAGATCAGCCACATATCATGAAGAATCTGATGAGATAGAGTGGATGACAAACCGTAAGTAAGTAAACAACTCAGGAAAGAGAGCAAGACACCTCAACATGGTTCGACATCCACTTTATCCTTGCAAACGCTACTCCTTCCCGGCCTTAATGAAGCTTGTTTAGATTGACTAGCATCAGATGAAATTGCACAAAAAGATATTTTCTTTACGGCTCTGGTCATTCAACAACGTTAAAGACCCAATATTCGATGGCTGTTGGCTAAAAAATATGATATCATTCATTGTTTTTCTCTTGCATGCCACTATCAGCATTTGTAAAATTGGTCCCAAATCCCAGAATTTCCGTAGTAGCACTCGTGGCCGATGACCAGCCTATAGCAGGCAGACCGAGAGACGTTGTTCTCGCACAAACCTCGTAAAGCACCGGAACCAATCACTTACGCGCAAGTCTTCATGATATCTATCATTCGCAAAAGAGTCACCTACCGTCCTGCATAGTTATCCGAGCCACTAAAACTTAGTACCAGCTGGATCTCTGTCTGGATGTGTTGTTTCTCTATCCACCGCTAATTGACCACGTATAGCGAAGCAT